TTTATTCAGAGTTCACCCCAGCACCACACTGCTGAAGCTTACAACTGCTGAAACCCCCATCTAGGTCTCTCTTACTTCTGGGTTACACTATTCCAATGTACACTTGGCTGGCCTCCTATTTTCCATCATCCACTGTCTAGCTCATTCAAAATGCCACATCCACCATAATTTATATTTACCCTTTTCATAGTGCTCACTGACCTATACTGGTTCCACATTAAGCATGATTTAAGTCTTTCCATCATTTCATCCCTCCAAATGTCTAGCCTCAGATTCTTGTGTTCCTCCAGTTCAGACTGCTTGTTAACATTCAGCTGCCAAAAGTCATAATCTTGGGAATTTCCTCCTTAAATCTCTCAATTGTTTTGTCCATTGACCAAGCACTTTGGTGACCAGCCTTATGATTTCTTTGTAATTTAGTATGAAATTTTATTCATTAACACTCCTGGGATATTACTTTGAGAGGTCTTCCTATGACAAAGATGCTGTATAAATTGTCATATGAAGAAAAACTTGAAGAAAATCATGTTATCATATTTAAGGTGAAAAAAATTCTACAAGATATTACAGAATCTCCTGATAGAGTGAAATGTAGTTGAGGATGGGGAATAACCATTGAGGAAACCAGTTGAATTGAACAAAAGCAAAATACTGCAGACGTTTGAAATCTGAAACAGAGTGCTGAAGAAACTCAGCAGGTCAGGCAGCATCTGTGGAGAGACACAGTTAACATTTCCAGTCCTGTATATTTCTTCTTTAGAACCATACTACATCAAAGTCACTTACTGACGAGGTTTATTATTTTGAACCTGGAAAGAGGGAAATTTGGACACTGATATAGGAAGGGGGAGAATGTGTAATTGTTGATACATGAAGTGTGATTGAGGATTTCGAATTTGCCATCGATAGTGTAATCATGTTCTTGTCCCTGTCTTTCATCCTCTTCCTTCATATTTACCTCCTCTTATTCCTGCTGCTCAGCTTCTCTGAAGATTGGTGATGCCAAAGCCCCGGTAAATGCACAGGTGATGGAGCATGCACATTTCCAGTGTAAAGCTTCATACCAAGTACTGTGGCACTCCTCAAGTACAGCAAGAACATTGATTATGAACGCAGATGGTATGTTCTATCATACTCCTTCCAGTAACATTGCTCTGGACTGCATCCACACTGTGCACATACACGTTTTCCAAACCAACTCATCAACGAGCACTACACAACAATTGACATGATCTGCCTGTTTCACATGTTAGAGTCAAAACGTACATTTGCATCTTGGATACCATTGTCTAGCATTAGAAGGCCAATTTAGTATCAGTAAAATATAAAAAGATAATTAGAGTCATACAGCATGGAAACACACCCTTCGGTCTAATTTATCCAGGCCGACCAGGCATCCCAAACTGATCTAGTCCCATTTGCCAGCATTTGGCCCATATCCCTCTAAACCCTTCCTATTCACATACCCATCCAGATGTCTTTTAAACATGGTAATTGTACCAGCCTCCACCACTTCCTCTGACAGCTTGTTCCATACATGCACCACTCTCTACATAAAAAGGTTGCCCCTCAGGTCCTTGTTAAATCTTTCCCGTCTCACCTTAAAAACTTATGCCCTCTAGTTTTGGACTTGCCCCGCCCTAGGGAAAAGTGCTTGGCTATTTACCCTATCCATGTCCTCATGATTTATAAATGTAAACATATAAATCTCTATAAAAGTTACTGCTCAGTCTCTGATGCTCCAGGGAAAACAGCCCCATCTATTCAGCGTCTTCCGAGAACTCAAACCCTCCAGACCCAGCAACATCCTTGTAAATCTTTACTGCACCCACTCCAGTTCAACATCCTTCCTCAAGGGTGATCAGAATTATATGCAGTATGCGGAAAGTGGTCTCACCAATGTCATGGACAGCCAAAACCGGACATCCTAACTCCTGTACTCAATGCTCTGACTGATGAAAGCAACTGTGCTAAACACTTTCTTCACCACCATCGCTACCTGCAACTCGACTTAAGGTACTCTGCACCCATAACCCAAGGTCTCTTTGTTCAGCAACACTAGCCAGGGCCCTACCATCCAGCTGTACAAGTACTTTAGCCTTAGCAAAATGCAAAACCTCACTTAGCTAAATTAGATGCCATTTGCCATTCCTCAGCTCAACAGCTCATCTGATCAAGATCCCATTGTACTCCAATATAGCCTTTTGACGGTCCACTACACCATCCGAAAAGTTATTAACCAAAACTGCTATATTGACATCCAAATATTTTATATAAAATGACAAAAGCAGTGGGCCCGGCACTGATCTTTATGGCGCACTGCTGGTCACAAGCCTCCAATCCAAAAAACTAATGAACCAAATGAACCATGAATAAAACTTCACTTAGAGAGCTGGACCCAGTATTGGGTTACGTACAACAGGACGCACCAATATAATGAGCTTTTACCGAAAGAACAAAAGATGCAGAAGCCTGTTAACAGGAAGCACAAAAAGGATGAAATACCTGAAAAGCAGGATTCTGTTTAGTTGGAAGATAGATAGATTACAGGAGAGGTGCAATTAAAATATTTAAACTAACAAAACCAAACGATGATCATTAAAATAGGAGGTAGAGCATAAACTGAACGTAAACTAGCAATATAAAAACAAACAGAAGAGCTTCTTTAAAACTTTAGAAAGGAGAAGAAAAAAGGCCAGTGTGAACATGGATACCCTTAGAGAATTAGGTTGCACACACAATGAGAAACCAGGAAACGGCAGAGGAATTGAATAAATACTTAGCGCAAGTCTTCACAGGTGAGGACATTGATAGCATCTCAAAAATACTATAATACTAGGTAAAAGGTGGATATGAAATAAACAAAATAACTATTAAAGAAAAGTACCACAGAAACTAAAACAAAACTGCAGATGCTAGAAATCAAGAACAAAATGCTAGAAAAACCAAGCAGGTCTGGCAGCATCTGTGGAGAGAAAGCAGAGTTAATGTTTCAGGTCCAGTGACCCTTCTTCAGTTCTGAAGAAACAGAAACCGATTGAGCTAAAAGATCTCCCATATAATAGAGACAACAACATGTAGAGCTGGATGAACACAGCAGGCCAAGCAGCATCAGAGGAGCAGGAAAGCTGATGTTTCAGGTCTAGACTCTTCTTCAGAAATTGCCTACCCTCAAGCAACCCCTCTGAGCCTCTCATCCTCAATCTTAGTCTCAGTCTCCAGACCCCACTTCCTCTAACACATACACATTCCTGCACCTTCAGGACTCTCTCCTTTCCCGATTCTAGTACCAATCTCTAGTTTGTGACATCTTACATGCTACAAACATGCTGTATCTCCTGCATTTTAAAAAATGCAAGAGACAAGATGCTGATACTTGAAGGTTTAAGGGGCTGAATTTCTACTTTCCCATTCAGCAAAAAAGGCCACAGAAAGTCTAGCAACAAATGGTGGAGGCAGTGTCTCTGGCAGTTCAGATTCTTCTGCCTAAGTTATGTTGATAACAGAACTCCAGTAGAAATTCATCATCCAACATTAATGAGACCACATATTATGATTTCAGAAATTTGATTTCAAATACAAATACCAGAAGAGAACCCAATGGAATGAAGTTTCTTCAGTCCCCATAAATCAGGGATCCTGATTTTACATCCAGTGTTATACATCACAATATAGATACCCTCTCAATCAAAGCAATGACACAATAGATCTTTGTGTGTTTAAATAATTTGCTGCCTCAGATTCTAGTGCCCATAACATACTGTTAGGAACTTAATACAATTTAAATAGTATTAACTGCCTTAAAGAAATTTTTAAAATAAAATACTATAACTAACCTTACAGGGGTAGCATCAACTACCTCTGAAGATCTGGATTCAAATCCCAACTGCCACAGAGGTGTGTTGTAACATGTCTGAACAAGTTGATTAAGATAACTGTAACCAGCAGTCAGATTGCAATGTCCAAATAAAATAATTTGGTGCCTATAGTCAACATTCATGAAATCAAAGGCAGAAAATCTGGGATGAAAGAAAAGGCAGAAAATGTGCATTTATATCGTATCATATCACTTATTCAAAGAATGATGTGGATTGTTCATGAACAGTAATGTGCGTAAACATAACAGGCAATTGGATATAGTGAGGTTCCACATGGGATAGATAATGAAACGAATGATCACAGTCAATTTTGTTACTGATTAAAGGAATAATTTTAACTAGGTCAAGAGGAAAATTCTATGCTGTTTGAATAGCATGTTGGGATCGTTAAATGCATGATTTAAAGTCAGCATCCCTGCCAGTACAGCAGTGAAGTAGTGTGTCAACCTAGGAGATGTGCTTAAATCCTTGCTTGAGCTTTAAACCATAGCACATTATGGGTTACACCCACAATGTTTTTAAGGTTTCAGCTTCCCGTACAAGATGATGAGAATTTGAAGTCTGCCCTCAAGACAGACATTAAATGTGCGGGAGCATCCACTCCTAAAATATTTCTGGCACAAAAGTCAGACCAGTATCAGATTAGCTGCAAATCCAGTTTTTATTCCATTTAGGTGAATAGATCCAGCAACTGTGATCATAACCTCTTGGTAAAACTTGTAAATAACTGCTTTATCAAAATAATCTGTCCTTTTTAAATAGCTTGCTTTGGATAGTCCACCCTGAATATCAAGGCTGTGTGCAGTAATGATAGAGCTCTTGATCTCAGAATGTGATGATTTTAAAAAAAAACCTAAAAATGGTTAAAAAAAGCAAACAACTTGAGAAAAAAAAAAATGGAGCAGTACAAGAGTACTCCTTAAATTTAGGCAATGAGAATTCTACTGTCTTTCACCATTTCTGATGAACATATTACATCACCTGTTTTACTGTACAGTGAACTTGCAGGGTCCTGTTTTGGTAATGAGTATGATTCAACAAGCAGGATACTGCATTTTCAGATTGCTGTTTCTGAACGAATAGAACAACTTTAAGCTAAAAGCTCCATGGAACAATACACAATTTGAACTTCAATTCGATTTATTAGATCTGTAAATTATCCCATGATCAATAACTTTTCACATTGTAGTAATGTATCTTCTGATCAGCAGTGATGAAGCAAATCAATGCTAAATCCAACTGAAATCCTCATTACTACAAAAGGCCGTTACAAAGCATTAAGCAAAGTTCAAATTAGGCCAAGTCCAACAATCTGTGTTCTTGAATAAAGAAGTCCCCTCAAATTTCTTCTGGTGGGGTACGGCACTGCTTTTAATGCAGTTTATTTTTGGCAGTTTACCACAATGATAATCATTTTACCCAAATAATTTTATGTCTTTCTTTAATCTCTCACGCATCATCATCAGATGTATCACTGCTGCTCGTCTCTGTATCATCAACAGTGGGCTTGTAAGTGCTCTTCCAAGTACTAAATTTGAAGTTACAAGTGAGACCATTTTTCAGAAGACCATTTTTTCTAAGGCCGTTCTTCTGCAGCTGAAATTAAAAACAAAAGCTACGTAAGAACATGTACAAAAATCATCACTACAATTTCTAAAATCTCCCACTATACTGAATTGGAAAGAACCCAGCAGCACAGCAATTATAGCAAAAGGCTGCAGCCTTGAATCAAACATGGACCAAGAGGTGAACTTCAGCAGCAAGGTTTAAATGTCTGCCCTTGTCGTGCATCCAACTAAGTGAAGTTGCAGCCAGTGTAAATCTAAAGACAATCCTAATCAGCGAAAGCTCTCCACCAATAGAAATCAAATCTTACAAAAAGAATGTGTTTACAGTTGGCGCAGGTCATTTGTCTCAACTTCAGGCATCTGAACATGAAATCCTAGGTCCAAACATCTTCAAATGCCTAATTAATGATTTGCCTTCCATCATAAAGATCAGAAGTGGGGACGTTCACTGACGATTCCACAATGTTTAGTACTATTTCTGACTCCCTAGATATTGAAATAATCCATGCACACATGCAAGGAGACCTGGACAACATTCAGGTTAGGGCTGCAAGTGGCAAATAACAATCATGGCACACAAATGCCACGCAATGGCCATCTCCTAGAACAGAGAACATTGCACCTCTTTTGCTATTAATTGTCATTACTATAGCTAATCTCCCACAATCAACATGCTTTGCAGGAAGCAGGACAGAGACTGAAAATTCTCTAGTGAGGAACTCATCTCCTGACTTACCAAAGTCTACTCACCATCTACAAGGCACAAGTCACAAGAACACAATTTCTCCACTTACCTGGATTGGTGCACCTCCAAATCCTCAAGAAACTCAATACCAAAAGGAACAAAAACAAAGTTGCTGAAAAAGCTCAGCAGGTCTGACAGCATCTGTGAAGGAGAAAACAGTTAACATTTCGGGTCGGGTGACCCTTCTTCAGAACCCCTCCTCTGAGGAAGGGTCACCGGACTCGAAACGTTAACTGTTTTCTCCTCCACAGATGCTGCCAGACCTGCTGAGCTTTTCCAGCAACTTTGTTTTTGTTCCTGACTTACAGCATCCGCAGTTCTTACAGTTTTTACCAAAGTAAAAGGGCCTGCATGATCAGTTTGCCATCCACCAGAAACATTCACTCCTGCTATCACCAATACACAGTTGCAGTAGTGCGCATCATCTACAAGCAGCACTGTAACAACTCACCTTCAGCGTTTTCCAAACCTGTGACCCTTACCAAGCAGAAGAACAGTAGGTACATGGGAATTCCATCACCTGCAAGTTCCCCTCGAAGCCATACACCATTATGACTTGGAACCATGTGGCTATTCTTTCACTGTCAAAGGGTCAAAATTCTGCATCTCCCTCACACTAAAAGCACTGTGGGTATGGATACAATCGCATGGATTGCAAGTAAAAAGTTCATTGGCTGATCCAGTCATACTCAGCTCAAGAAGTTGGCTCACTTCCCACATTCTCAAGCGTAATAAGCGATTAGTAATAAATGCTTGCTTTTATTCTTGGCTCCCAAGAATATGTTTTATGTTACTACAGACTTCAGAACTTGAATAAATTCATGGATTGAAAGAAACCGCAATAAGTATTTCTGGAATAAATTGTTTCTTGAGATAAAAAAGGTACAAGGGGAAACTGTTTTAAAGGAATTAAAAGCAACATGCAAATTAACCATCTCTGGAAAGAAGCAACAGAAACAATGTTTTCTGAGAGAAAGAAGATAATAACTGCTTGATAACCTGCTGCCTGATGACAAATGGGCAATTAAGCCTGCCTGCACAAGTAATGTCCAGAAGTAAAGCGGTTAATTGCAGGAAAAGCTGTGCTTTAAAACAGACAACTAACCCTGAATGTAACAGGAACAGGGGAGCTACTTCTGATAAGGCGGCAAGCTACAGACTGGAGGTCTCCAGATGTGTAATCAGCATTGGGGATGAAAAGATCCTATGGAGTCATAAATAATATCATACCACAAACATGAAAGACAGAACACTGAATAAGAACCCAATTCCAGAACATTTCAGCAGCAGAACTTTAAAGAACAACACTGCATAAGAATTGAATCCTAGACATATTCAGAGACAAGCACTGGCGGTTGGAATCCTGGCCAGATGCTACATTAATTGGTTAATTGCCACATTGGGTTGAGGCTTAATGTGCTTGCTTTAGGGGTCATATTTTGGTGGCTACACATAATAAAAGTTTAAATCATTGTCTGTGAGACTTGTTAATAATTAGCCCAAAAAAAGATTGTAGGGATTTACCCACAACAGTTTTCAAAAAGTGCTCAAGCTTTTATAACAGCAAAACCTCTGAACTCAACTTTTTTTTTTTTTTAAAATTGGTTCTGCTGTCATCACAACATTAGTGGTGGCAATGTACCAAAGCAAATCCATTCTTTCTCCTTCACCTTCCTTTTCCCTAACCATGTTTAAACAATCTAAGTGACTGCTAAGAACGAAGCATGAAATGAATAAAGACAGCATAAAACAAAAATATTTTGTACCTATTTAAGACACTTCTGTTTAAACTGGCATCTTAAGGCTATCCAAAATATATAAAGTGAGATGTATAGCAACTCAAACTCTCTTGCAAATAGAGTCATGGAGCTGTATGGCGTGAAAACAGACCCTTCAGTTCAATTCGTCCATGCCAACCAGATATCTTCAATTAATCTAGTCCCATTTGTCAGCATTTGGCCCATATCCCTCGAAAACCCTTCATATACTTATCTAGATGCCTTTTATATGTTGTAATTGTACCAGTCTCCACTGCTTCCTCTAGCAGCTCATTCAAAACACACACCACCCTGTGTGAAAATACTGCCCCTCAAGTCCCTTTTAAATCTTTTCCCTCTCGCCTTAAACCCACGCCCTCTAGTTTCGGGTTCCCCCACTCCAGGGAAGAGGCCTTGTCTATTTACCCAATCCTTGCCCCTCATGATTGTATAAACCTTTAAAAGGTCTTTAAAAGGTCACTCCTCAGCCACTGATGCTCCATAGAAAATAGTCCCAGCCTATTAAGCCTTTCCCTATAGCTCAAACTCTGCAACCGTGGCAACATCCTTGTAAATCTCTTCTGAACCCTTTCTAGTTTCCCCAAGGGAGACCAAATTACATGCAATACTCCAGCTGTTCAAACCAATGTCCTATACAGCCGCAACATGACCTCCCAACTCCTATACTCAATGCACTGGCCAATAAAAGGCAAGCATACCAAACACTCCACCTATCCACCTGTAATTCCACTTGCAAGGAATTATGAACCTGCACTCCCAGGTCTTTTTGTTCAGCAACGCTGTCCAGGTCCTTACAAACTTAATGGTAAGTCCTGGCCTGATTTGCCTTTCCAAAATGCAGCACTTCTCCATCTGCCACTCCTCCATCCATTAGCCCATCTGATCAAGATCTCATAGTAACCTTCTTCTCTGTCCACTACACCTCCAATTTTAGTGTCATCTGCAATTTTACTAAGTATACCTATGTTCATATCCAAATCATTTATATAATGAACGAATATTAGTAGACCCAGCAGCAATCCTTGTGGCACACTATTGGTCATAGGCCTCCAGTATGAAAAGCAACCCTCCTCTGCCGCCCTCTGTCTCTTACCTTCAAGCCAGTTCTGTATCTAAACAGCTAGTTCTCCCTCCATTCCATGTGATCTAACCTTGCTAACTGGTCTACCATGAAGAACCTTGTCAAACGCCTTACTGAAGTCCATATGGGTCACATCCACCACTCTGCCCTCAATCCTATGCATTACTTCTTAAAAAAACGGAATGAAGTTAGAGAGACAGGATTTCGCATGCACAAAGCCATGTTGACTCATCCCTTATCAGTCCTTGCCTTTCCAAATACACTTAAATCCTGTCCCTCAGGATTCCCTCCAACAGCTTGACCACCATCGATGTCAGGCTCACCGGTCTGTAGGTCCCCAGCTTTTCCTTACCACCTTTGCCAACCTCCAGGTCTAGCGGCACCTCACCTGTGGCTAACGATGACAAATGTCTCAGCAAGGGGCCCAGCAATCTCTTCCCTCACTTCCCATAGAGCTCTAGGGTACACCTGATCAGGTCCTGGGGAATTATCCACATTTATGCCTTTTAAGACGCTCAGCACCACCTCCTCTGTAATATGGACATTGAGATGCTATTTGTTCCCCCACGTTCTCTAGCTTCCATATCCTACTCCACAATAAACACTGATGCAATATACTTGTTTAGTTACCTCCATCTCTTGTGGTTCCTCACATAGGTAGCCTTGCTGATCTTTAAGGAGCCCTATTCTCTCCCTAGTTAGCCTTTTGTCCTTAAAGTATTTGTATAATCCCTTGGGACTCTCCATAACCCTATTTGCCAAAACTATTTTGTGTTCCCTTTTTGCTCTCCTGATTTCCCTCTGAAATAAAAGTCACTGAGTTAAATATGTACTAATTAAAGGAAAGCGAGCAGAAAGTGAGGAAAATTAAAGAGAAAGTGAAAACAAAAAATGCTGGAGATGACAGGAGGTCAGGCAGCATCCATGAAGAATAAGCAATCTAATGCTGAGTCTAGAGGACTCTTCAGAGCTAACGTAAAGTGTGGAGGGGGCAACATTTACACAAAAGCGGCAGGGTGGAGTGCCGGGGCAATAAGGGTGTTGATAGTGCACATTAAGTGATCAGAATGCGAGAATGGCAGAACAACGGTGTGTCTAACTGCCAAACTGGAAAAAACATATGGTCCCACTGGAGTCGGGCTAGGGGAAGAAAGAGGACAAGGTGACAGAGAACTTGCTCCTAAAGACAAAAAAAAAGTGTTTGACTAACTTGATTGGGAGGGGGTCACATTCGTCATGGCACAGCCATTAATCCTGACTTGTGCCTTGCAGAAGGTGAACAAGCTTTGGGAAGTCATGAGATAAGCTACTTACTGCAGCATTTCTAGCCTCTGACCTGCTCTTGTAGCCACAGGATTTACATGGTTGATCCCATTCAGTTTCTGATCAAAGCTAACTCCCAAGACTTTGATAGTAAGAGATTAAACAATGCAATGCTCCTGAATGTCAAGGTAAGATGGGCATATGCTGTCTTATAGGAGATGACCATTAACTGCTCTTCACTGACTGTTTCTGGTACCTGTGTTAGCTGATATTGAGAATGAATCTCTCTCTATGGATATAGTTCCTACCTGCTTAAAGGCTCTTGACCAATAATCCTTGGAACTAGCAACCCATCTCCAACCCCTTGCCCCCTCCAAGTCCTAGTATCTGTTACTGCTTCCTAAATCAGTGACTCCTTTAGTTTTAATTCCTTTATGGAATGTGGGCACTACTGGTAAGGTCAACAAATGACTACAAGTACATCTAAACACGCAGACTAGGACAAGTGGACCCTGGTGTCTCAAGCTTGCTGTCCATTCATCATGGCAGATCAGATTACTACATAATTCTACCTACCTTGGACAACATTTCAGCCCTTTGCTCATCAGTAATTTCAGGTGGCACAGTGGTTATCACTGCTGCCTCACAGCGCCAGGAACCAGAGGTCAATTCCAGCCTCGGGCGACTGTCTGTGTGGAGTCTGCACACTCTCCCCACCTGTGTGGGTTTCCTCCAGGGGCTCCGGTTTTCTCCACAGATCAAAGATGTGCAGGTTGGGTGGACTGGCCATGCTAAATTGCCCACGGTGTTCAGGGATGCACAGGCTGGGTTGGTTAGTCATAGGAAACGCAGGCTTATAGGGATAGGGTAGGAGGATGGGTCTGGGTGGGATGCTGTTTGGAGGGTCAGTGTAGACCTGTTGGGCCAAATGGCCTGCTTACACACTGTAGGTATTCTATGACTTTAAGGATTCTATATTAAAATATTCAAAGATTCTGCTTCCAATGCATTTGGAGGAGAGTTCCAAACACAACAAAACTAAATTAAATAAAAAAAAGCTCGTCATCTCCACCTTAAAAGGCCAACTCCTAGCTTTGGTATCTCCAAAAAAGAGAACACATCCTCTCTAAATCCGTTATAACAAGGTCCCTTACGATCTTATACATTTCAAACAAGCTACTTCTTATTCTTCTAAACTCCAGCAGAAACAAGTCTAGCCCATCTAACCTTTCCTTGTCAAGCTGATCATTCAGCTTTTATTCTTGTAATGGTTTCACAATCATGGACTTCATCCTACAGTCTTAAACATAGGGGCTAATGATCCATTAATTTTTATTCTCCAAAATTCCCTGGATGTTTCATTACATTGACAAACATGGTCATACCTCCTTGATTTATAAAAGGATGGCAGAAACCAGGAAACTAAGGTTAGTGCTTAGCAACTGTCAGAGGGGAAAAACTGAAGAATCGCAGAAGGGTTATGGCACAGAACGAAACCATCTGACTCATGCCTGCACCGGCTCTTGATGACTTACTACCAATTTCCTCGTTCATCCTCACATCCTTACACATTATTTGGATATAGGTAATCACCCAATACCCTCTTGAAGCTATTAATAAGCAAGCTGTAGCAGGGCACTTGGATAACTTCAACATAATCATAACATGATAGACATAGCACCAGAAATTAGGCCATTTGGCCCAGTCTGCTCCACCCTTCCATCACAGCTGATAAGTTTCTCAACCCCATTCTCCAGCTTTCTCCCCATAACCCTTGAGGTTCTTGATTGTCAAGGGGCTATTTCTGTCTAAAATATACTCAATGACCTGACCTCCACAGCCTTCTGTGGCAATGAATTTCATAGATTTACCACTCTCTGGCTGAAGATGTTTCTCCATATTTCCGTTCTAAAGGATCTCCCCCTTATTCCAAGGCTGTGCCCTCAGGTCCTAGTCTCTCCTGCCAATGGAAACATCTTCCCAACACCCCCTCTGTCCAGGCTGTTCAGCATTCTTTAAAAGATTCCCCACCCCCCGCAATCCTTCTCAATTCCATCGAGTATAAATCCAGAGTACTCAAACATTGCTCATATGTTAAGCCTTTCATTCCTGGGATCATTCTCGTGAACCTCCTCTGGACCCGCTCCAGGGCCAGTACATCCTTCCCGAGTCAACATTTGCTGGTGACAGGAAAATCATTTAAAGCCAACCTATTGGAATTCTGTATGGAATTAACACATGCTGCGAATAAAAGGAAACCAGTGGATATATGCACTTACAACTTCCAGAAGGCACTTGAGGTGCCACATCAAAAAGGTTATTGCAGAAAATTTGATAAAGTAGAGAATAGCATACTGACATAGGTAGAAGACTGGCTGGCTAACAGGGAGCAGAGAGTTGGGATAAGTGAGGTTTTGTTTAAAAAAAAAAGTTGGCAAGATGTGACGAGTAGTGTGACACATGGATGGATACTGGGAATTCAACTATTTATAATTTATATAAACGACAGATGAAGGGGCAGAGTACCTAGTTACAAATTTAAAGGTTGACACAGGAAATTAAGTTGTGAATAGGCCATAAAAATATAGATAAAAAAGGTAAGTAAGTAAGAGCCGGGGGGCACATTGGCAATGAGCTAGCAAATTGTGTTAACAGTAGAAAAATGTGAAATTGGCCATTTGGCAGGAAGAATTTAAAAAAAAAAAAAGTGGTGTTATTTTCTAAATGGTGAGAGATGAGAGGATTCTGAGGATAGATAGATCTGGCTATCCTAGTGCACGAATGGCACAAGGTTTATGTGCAGGTACATCAAGTAATTAGGAAAGCTAATAGAATGTTTTAATTTTTCCTTTTTGCTGCCTCACTTGAATAGTTACCTGTACCATACTGCCATGATCAGTTCACTCAGCCACCTGCAGATTTCCGCTCTTATCCAAAAAGCTGAAAACAGCTGACTTCCACAGTTAATTAAGCAACTAACTATGTTCACATGTTTCTGTTCCATTTGTTTTGTATCATGCATTAATTCAACTTATTTTACAAGGCAAGCTGCAAGCTTATCTTACACTGGCTTCCTCCATCATAACAGTCCATGCATTTGGATGTTTGTGCTGTTCAGAGAGATGATTCCACTATTTTCAGCATCTTTTAATTGAGCTGAATCAATATTTCAGTATTTTAGATTTCTCCAGAACATTATAATGGATATTCCTAATTCCTTATTTATTACACTGGCCGATTAAACATTGTAAAAATAACTTGCACTCTGTAGATACATAACGACAATTCTATTTATGTTCCATAAATGGGTGTTCATCTGATTGGCAGGATTGAATGACTGGAGCCTCACCTTTTTACAACTGATATCAAGGATAGATAGGTGGGAAACTATATGTTATGAAGAGGACTTCAGTCAGTTGCAAACCAAGATAGATAGTTTGAGTGAGTGGGCAAAAATCTGGAAGACGACATATATAATGGGAAAATGTGAAGTTGTTCACTTTGACAGGAAGAACAAAGACAAACAGAGTATTACCTAATTGGAGAGCAACTGTACAATCTGGAGGTGCAAAGAGATCTAGGTGCTGTCACACAGTCATAAAAGGTTAGCTTGCAGACACAGGCTAATGGAATGCTATTCAATGCTATTCAAATTGAACATAAAAGGTAGGGTGTACTTGATAATTCAGTTGATAGGGCAACGAGATCAAAATCTCAAATAGTGTGTGGCCACCTTATTCAAGGAAAGACATATATGTAACCAGTGGTGGTTCACTGAAAAGTTGTGATTGATGCCTAGAATGAGCAGGCTATTTTATGGAAAAGACTGGATAGGCTAGGCTTGTTTTCACTGGATTTCAGAAAAGCGAGTGGTGTCTTGATTCAAGTATAAAATCCTGAAGGGTCTCGACAAGGTGAATATGAACATGAGGTTTCCTCTTGTGGGTCAGTTTAGATCTACAGGTGACTGTTTAGAGGTCATCCTGACAGAGGTGAAGGGATTTCCTTTCCTCACAGAGGGTTGTTCAACGTTGGAATTCTGCCTCAGAAGGCAGTGACAACACGGCCATTGTATTTTATGCAACATGGAGATAGATTTTTGTTAGGCAAGGGATCAAGCATAGAGTAAATGGAAATGTGGAATTCTAAATTCAAAATAGACCACTTGTGATCTGACTGAATGGTGGAGTAGACCTAAGGGGCCAAATGACCTAGTTACATTTCTCATTCATATGTTTGTATGCTCATAACCATGCAAAGTGTTTTTAAATATCTACACACAACCATCTTGAAGACAAAGAGACATATTAGCAAAATTCACAGGCTCATTGACAATCTTGTCATGCAATATCGTGAATGATGTTACTGTTGCATCAAGCATCTTTACGCCATCTGAAAGAACAGTTTTAATGGCAAAAGGAAATCATTGGCTTCTAAAACTCAAATAACTGGAACAGAGGGGGACCCAACAACCTCGATATCAAAGATAGTAGGAACTGCCTGGTTCCAGAAATTAAAGCCAAAGCTCTGTTCAGCACATGCCAAGAAAATCTACAGTGGGGGTTTGACCACTGCATGCTTAGAGATGGCTTTCGACTTGCGAAAAATCCTCTCAAAATTTACAGACCTACAATTTGATATTTGCAGAATTTCGCTGTTTGGAATATTGGCTGCTATCTGATCCAAAAAGTTGCATACCTATAAACGCAACAGGAACTTACAAAGGGAAAAGCTGGGGAATTGAAAAGTTTGAAGAATGGATCCAATTTTGCCTATTACCTGTTCACTGATGGCCTGGAATTCCCTCATCTCATCCTCTGTCAATGGAGCACAAGTTTCATCATTTTCACTTTCTTCCTGCCAACCCATTTCTTTAAGCAGCCTACATGTAAAACAAAAATAATATTAGAGGTGACTGTGGCATACCAAAGGAAATCCACATTCAAATGTTATACATTTAGAAATCGTCACTAACATCTGAAGACCCGAGTAAGTTTAAGTGAAATCTTTCCATACCACATTTCTAGTTCAAGGTTAATTATTCACCATTTAGCTGCTAGCTAGTTTCAGTGTGGTCCAGATCATAACACTTTAGAATTTTTAAACCCATTTGTACGAACAAAGTGCAAGCAAACCCAATTATCCAATACAACATTTCCATAGATATTAAAAGAACAACTTACTTGGTTGTCATAACAGATGCAAATATTGTACACTGAAAGATGGTTTCTGGTATGGTAAATGATGTAGTTGGAATGAAAACAAGGTGATAGGTAAAAAAATGCCAGGATAGCTTGAGTTATGGCTATGACAAAACGAATGTAACAATCTTTAAGATCAAAAAAACATATCTGTGCAAGAGAAAAGGATAGCATTTATGCAAGAGGGAGGGAGGCGGGGGGGATTCGAAGTCACAAACATGCCGAAATACCATTGCCAGGATGAAAAAAATGGGAAGGAAATTGCATTCTATGGAAATCGCCAAGGCTACAGTTGGACAGGTATATTCATAGCAGCCGGCAACACTGTGTCCAAGTCTCGCTATCGAAGGATGGTAAGTTTCCTCACAACTCTCATGCCTTTGCAATTTCGCTATGTCCATTCCATAAGACAAACTGAAGTTTCAAAGTTTAGAAGTAAGTCAATGATTTTATACACATACCTATGCTCAGCTTCCAGCGAACTTGATAAAATATTACATTGGGGGAATGCTGATGGGTGAATGGTTGACTGGGACAGAGTTCGAGCATTTCCCTTCTCCCTACGATCACCATTTTTATCAAAATTTCGATTTTCATCTCTTTCTTGATGAGTATTCTTGTTTTGTTGCATGCTAAACATTCCATAATCCTGCAGGCAATAGACCAAGACGAATATAAACAATTCTTGCAGACAAGCTGTCAGCGAATATTTCTTTCTTAAAAATGAAAGAACACTTCTGGATTGGTGAAAACTTTTAAAGTTCCACAATTACAGTATAACAATTTTTATAGGTAAGCAAAAGCCAAAAGAACCGTGGATGCTGTAAATCCGGAACAAAAACAGAAGTTGCTGGAAAAGCTTAGCAGGTCTGGCAACATCTATGAAGAAAAAATCAGAGTTAACGTTTCAGAACGGAGGAAGGGTCATCAGACCTGAAACGTTAACTCTGATTTTTTCTTCATAGATGCTGCCAGACTGTTAAACTTTTCCAGCAACTTCTGTTTGTTTATAGGTGAACAGATAGTTTAATTATTTTTAAATACATGGCCAACGCAAAAGACGTCCAATACCGTTTGTAGCACAAGTGCTGTCAATATGAGCCTTTGTGATTAATAATTCTTATTTAGAAAAGTAAAATATTTCTATTGGGCAAGAGAAAATGTATCCCTTTAGAAAGCAGATGGAAGAAAACCAAGAGAAAATCAAAAATCAATTTTAAATATACCAACATCTATCAATACCAGTGGTTCTGTAGCTCAAGTGAGAGCAATGTCGTGACCCAGTCAAAAGGTTCAAGGACCCCAGTGGTTTGACCCAATTTTTAAGCCAACACTTCAATGCAATACTGAGGGAGCAATACTCTGTGAAATACCATCTATTGAAGACTTATTTAAATAGGGCTCTGTCTGCTCTCTCAAATGGAGATAAAAAGGTTTCATATTATTGTTTCAACGAGGAGCACTGGAGTTAACTCTGGTGTTCTACCTGAAATATATCCCTCAAACAACATTACTAAAACAAACCTAGTCACATTCTATTGCTGTCTGTGCAAGCTGCAGCATGTAAATTGGCTGTCGTTTCTTCCATAACAGAGGATTGCACGTCAAAAGAATTTCAATTGTAAAACTGTAAATTCTGCAGGGTAAAGATAAGCCAATGTCTTTGTTCCCAACATAATATATTTCATTCTCCAAGACATCATTTCAGTCTGAAATTAACTGTATTCTCCTCTGTCAATTACCTCACCCGACATGCTATCACAATAAGAACTGAAGTCTTAAACAGTGTTAGAAATTAGTGTCTCTGTAAAACTCACTTCCCACACCCCCACCCTGAATACTTCCTGTGTAGCGCACACAATCTCATGTAACTGTTGTTACAGCAGTTACTTGCTTTCCCCAAAATAAACAATTCTAATAAGACAAAAAGGATGATAAAGACCATTGGGATCATTATGCCCTATAAGCTGATATCTGCACTTTATTATGAAGGCAGAGTTTAGGAAAATATAAAGGTTTTATTTTCTTAAAAAGATTAACAACTAATCTTTAAAATGAAGGTTTGGAATTGGGGAATAGTTATTCTAACAGAGTAGTTGCCCATGTCCATTGGTCAGAAGGATTCAAATAAGTAATTAACACAGTATAAACAACTGGCCCCAAGAAATAAAGCTACACCAAGTGCTCAGGGTCAGAGAGCAGTCATCATCAGGTGGTCCTTATACAAGGCAGCCCAAATCAGGACTTCTCCAGGTGGGAAGACTGACAGAGAGATTGAAGTCAGGCCCAAGAAAGAGACCCTAGTACTTCAGCTACAGCATAGGATGCTGTCTTCACAGCTTGAAAGAGATCACTATCCTCTGTGATAACTGTGGCATCTCTTTTGGTATCAGTAAACCATCGCCAATTTTGATGGACAAAGAGGAGAATGTAGCCTAACTAAAAAAATGTATCATGCCTTGTTTGTTGCTTCATAACAATTTAATGCATCTGATGGTTTTATAACAAATGATCAGACAAGATAGGAGTCAAATTAGGTCATCTGGCCCATCGAGTCTCCTCCACCATTCGCTCATGAACGATATGTTTCTCAACACCATTCTCCTGCCTTCTCCCTATAACACTTGATCCTCTGACTAATTGAGAAGCTGTCTGCTTTAAATACACTCAATGACTTGACATCCACTGGCTTCTGTGGTAATGAGTTCCACGGATTAATCACCCACTGGCTAAAGAAATTCCTCCTCATCTCGGTTCTGAAGGATTGTCTGTCACCCCGGGCTGTGCCTTTGGGCCCCAGTCTCTGCTACTATTGGAAACATCTTTTCCACATTCACTCTATCCAGCCCTCTCAGTATTCTATAAGTTTCAAACAGATCATTCCCCCCCACCCCTATCCTTCTAAACTGCATTAAGTATTAACCCAGCATCCTCATCCACAGGATATTCTTGTAGCTATGTATAAATGGTCAACTGCAGTCACAAACCCTCAAATACCAACAACAGAACCCATTGAATGTGGATCAATAATGTAATTATAACTTGCAATTGAAACATCTTGTACCTCTAAAAGTCAACGAGAGGGCTCATATTTGATTTTCCCCACCCCCTACACGTCCCCCAATCCCAAACTCGCAACAAGCAATTATATCAAGAATTTTCTCAGCTGTCCCTATATTGCCAACAAAGTTCCCAGCTAGAGATCTTTTCTCCAAGGTCGATTAGCTTGCATTAAAGCCATCACAAAAGGTAATTCAATTCTGGTTTTATACTTCAAACTACACAAATTACAGACATATTAATAAATTATTTGCTAAACTAAACCATAATTTGTGCATAATGGTGAACATGAGATATAGGTCCAAGTTCATAACTGGTTTACTTCCCTCAAAATTAAGTCTCACTCATTGTTGTAAAAATCTAAATTCAATAGACTTTTTAACAAGGGGACTAAAAGAAAATTCAATTGTGCTAGTATAGGGTCTGTCTATACCTGGTTTCAGTTCTCAATATGAAGAGCGGCAACAGTCAGAGAGAGGCGGAACAGGTAAACACAACAAAACAGCTGGTTTGATATTGCCTGTAATGTAATAAGCCAGCCCAAGGCATTTCAAAGACATTATGAAACAGGATGAGGCAGTGGAGTTACACAAGGAGATATTAGGACAATTGACCAGAAACTTGGTCAAGGAGGTTAAATTTTAAAGGGACCTTAAGAAAGGAAAAAAGTGGGATGGAAAAAAAAAAAAAAAGAGAGATAGAAAGACAGAGGGAATTCAAGAGCTTGGGACCTAAGCAACTGATGGTGCACAGTCACCACAGCGAAGCAATCTAGATGTGGCACGCTGGAGAAGCTGGAATTAAAAGACTGCTGAAAGCTCAGGATTATAGGAAATGACATAGTCAGGACGATACCATTAAGGGATGCAAAAACGAGGATGAGATTTGTAAAAATCAAAGCATTGTTCAATCAGAAACTGGTGTAGATCAGCAAGTACAGGCGTGTTAGGTGAATAAAATTTGCTGCGTTAAGGTACAGGCAATCTCTCAAGTGCAGTCACTGCGTAGAAATATAGAAGCCAATATACATACAGCAAATTCTCACAAAACAGTAATGACTAAATTATCAAAAGTACACAACTGAACAGTAGAATCTGTCATGTCACTGGTCCAGTTAGAAAATGACTTGTGCACCTTGCATAGACAAAAGGAGTCCAACTGTTTCACAAATACCCAAGTTGTTTTTTTTCCCCCGATGCACACTCATAACATGAACGCGTGATGTCACATCGGCTTAATAGAAATTTGTTAAGTTCCACATATAGTCTCAGATTTCAGAACATCCTAATGATGTCAACTCCATACGGCAACAAGAAGGATACATGATAGAATTACCCTCCACAAAGCAATACTTTGCAAATCAAACTAACGCAGCAAGGAACAAAGGCAGCAGATTCAGAAATATCTGTAACAGTGCTAGAACAAGCGTGTGCGAAAAAGTTAGAATATTTACCTCCCCCCACCCTCCAAGTCTGATCTGACTGCTCAGATTCGAACTATTAACTGTGTTTCTCTCTCCTGACCTGCCGAGTTGCTCCAGCACTTGGATTTTCGTTCCAATCCCCAGTATTTTGCTTTTATTCCGAAATATTTAGCTCCTTTACATATCTCACAATTGGTGACCAAAAAAACTCAAAACAAAAGGAATACACTGCAACAATTTTCACAAGTTATTCGTAATAAAAGTTACTTCTGGGCTGCAGTTAAAATTATTACACAGCTAAGCAAGACAGACAATTTTCACAGAACAATGAAGCAGCACCAGTAGCTCAAGCACTGACAAAAAATACCTAACAGAAAGAACGGTTCCGTTGACATATTTCTTCCCCCCCCCCCCAACCTCCATTATCAGTGGGAACAAAGTTCATGCTACATATTGTTTGCCAGCAACCTGCTGTTGAAAGTAAGTTTCTAAACAATGGACAAGGGATGATTGGAATCACTACAGCAGCCATGCAGCTAAATGGGTAATGGTACATTGATGGATTAGCACCCCAGCAGAAAACAACTTCAGATAAGGAGGAAACATTGGGGGTTGGAAATGGGGCAGATGCACAGGGAAGAGAAGGGAAAGACTGGGGGCAGTACAAAATAGAGCAATAGCATGTTAAATAATTTGGGCCCACTGATAAACAAAGAACAAACTGAAAATTTCTGGAAAGAAAAAAGGCATTAAGAAATGCCAGGTGGCTCAGTGGTTTAGCACTGCTGTTTCACAGCACCCGGGTTCGATTCCAGCCTTGGTTGACTGTACAGAGTTTGCACATTCTCCACATGTCTACATGGGTTTCCTCCAGGTGCTCTGGTTTCATCTACAGTCTAAAGACATGCATGTTAGCTGGATTGGCAATGTTAAATTGCCCCAAAGTGTGCAGGTTAGGTGGATTACTCATGGTAAATGCAGGGTTATGGGGTGGGAGTTTGTAGGTATAGGTGGCATGTTCTTTGGAGGGTTGGGGGTGCAGACTCCATGTGTCAAATGGCCTCTTTCCACCCTGTAGGGATTCTATGAATTTGCGATATTAGCAGATTACAAAGTCTAAAAAAAAGTAGTATTGTTTCCATGTATGGTATTGGCTAGATTCTGGCCACCTAATCGTGGGAAGATACCCTTGCAAGCATTGCAGAGGAGTGACAATTGTGATTCCTTATAACAAGTGCTTTTTGAAAGAATAAAAAAAAGTCACATCCATCCCAGTGAGCCCAATAACCATGATTAGTTTCCAAAGTCCTCACCTTCCACCTTCCCTCATTCCCATCAAACCCAGATTCTTACGTCAACGAGAACCACTCCACACCCCCGAGCAATCAGAATAGTTTACTCCTCTACAATACCTCTAACTTGGTCCACTCCTCCGTCACTTCAACATCTCCTAACCTTCCCTAAACATTGCCCCCCCACTCCATCACCACAACCCTCATTACCTTCCATGCTAAGTCAGGGGATGCAACTCCTGCCCTTCTCAACATCCAAATTCAAAGCACTTATTTAAAAAGTAAAACACTGATTTACTTCTAGTTCTTTTAGTTTAGCATGCTGTATCAATTGCCTATAATGTGGCCTACTCTAAATGGAAGTGACCAAACGTGGACGAGGTGAATATGGATGACTTCCTACTCGTCACTTATTTGACTTCTTCAGCTTTTCCTGTTGTGAACTTTCTCACTTGGTTTCCTATATAATGTTCCAGATGTTTTAGGAATAACACCTCATTTTTAATCTGGGCACTTCTGGACTCAATGTTGAATTAAACAATTTCAGATCATAACTGTGCCACCAAATGTACTTTTTTGATGTTTTCTGTCTCCTCATTTTTGCTTCCAGACAACAGCAATTCAACATCTCACCATTCATGACTCCTCTACATACATCTTTCTTTACTTTTGTAAACAGTCCCATTATCACTCCACGTGGCATTTCACAAGGAACACTGTGAATCTCTCCTGCCCTCCACCCCATTACAGACCTTCTATTTTGTTATTTTAGCCTTCCTCTATCTTTTTACTTACTCAAAGTCTATTACATCTCTAAAACTGTCCAGTTCTTATGAAAAATAAGAACAGACCTGAAAAAAAAAATCAACTTATTCTTTCTCCACAGATGCAGACAAACCTACTGTTTGCGTCCAGTATTTGTTTTATTTCATTTCAGCTCAGGTTTGGCAAGGTGATCCAGGTGAAGTCTTCAAGACTAAGAATGGATTGGTCAAGTGTTGACAGTAAAACCTCAAAACTCCAGAGAGCTCATAAGCTAATTTTAAACAATATTAATTAAAGAGGACGGCATGGCTGGCAAAGCCATTTCTAATTGTTCTTCGAGGTTGATAAGCTGATTTCCTGAACCACTATTAGTAGTTTGATATGACCAAAACGTTTTTCAGATAACTTCACAGAACAGGCTAGTCAACCATGTCGAGTTACGATCGACAGTTTGAGACAAGACAGTCATCCTCCCCAAGTGGATATTACTGAAATAACATTTGATAAGTTTGAGAATGACTTCAAATTACCTTAAAAAACCTGGAAATATCAATTTTCCTTACACAAGAAAATAATAAATTTACTTCCTCACTTCCATGGTGAAATCTGAATGTGTTCTCAGGAACATTAGTGTAGGGTACTCTATTACAAAACAAGTACATTGGTGTTATTGTACTTTATCTAATATAAAGATCAGGAACTCATTAAGCCTATCTAGCTTTTCCTTCAAATAAAAAATTATTAGCCCATAGTTTGCCTTTTGTTTCACAGTTTCGGTCCCCATATTTGGAAGCCCATTTCAAGAATCAAATCATGAAAAATTATTATACAAAACAGCAGTGAAATTGCCCTTCAGCAATTTTTACCCAAGCTCTTTTGTCCCACAGACATCTGAATTTGAAATTCAGTTTGAATCTTTCTACTCCACTTGGTACTTTACATACTGTCCCACCTCCCATCGGGGGCTTTTGCAAATTTTAAATCTGCAGCATCTGGTTATTTGGCCTCTCACCAAGAGAGTTTATTTTAAACAGAACAAAAACTCTATCGGAACCTCTCATCACCCTGAAAATTTCAAATAGGTCTCCTCTTAGCCTTCTGTTCCAGAGAGAAAAGTATAAACTTGGTAAACCTCTCCTCAGAATTGAAATAATCCTCAACAATCCTCAATAACCTTTCGAATACCTTTCGGCATTCTTGAAATACCCCCAAAAATTCAGAAAACTGCAGCTTAATTAATTGGACCAGTGATTTATAAAGTTCCCCAATTATGTCTACACATCAGTATGCCATGCCTCCAGTTGTAAACCAAATTAACCCAAAATGATTTACTCATCACCTGATCAAAAGTTCACACCACCATTTCTTGCAGATTTTGCATCACCAGTAAAATAGCAGTGCTCATTGCTGACCTCAAGAGAAGCAGTTGATACAGATTTTGAGGGCAGTAAAGCACCCACTTCTTCAATGCTGATTGACCAATGGAATTTGAATCTAAAAGGGATCTAGGACATCTAACTATTAAAAAAGTAGGCATTAAGCAGGCTAATCAGCCAAGCAAAATAAAGAGCTCTCAGTCAGTAAATCAAGAGCAGAAAGCGCGGACTGTAATTAACTTTGGAATTCACTTGCTTTCTGAAAATGATGAAGATTGTCTGATATTTCAGCATCTATCTTAAAATGTGATTAAGCAAAACTCATTGTTGAAAATGATATTCTAAGGCAATAATGTTTCACAATTGTAAAGTGTATTTCCCATGGTTGTTCAACAGTAATCTTGATTGAATATGCCATTTGAAAAATCAGTTGCATATCACTGAATAAGAACCATTTCCAATGTTTCCTTTCGAGTGTGTACATTGTAAAAACAGGAAGCTCACACAATCAACAGAAAAACAGTGAAATAACATCTGTGAAGACTGCAACAGTGCATCTTGTTAAGAAGCAAAGCACAGATTTCAGAGTGTGCGCATTTAACTGAGCAGGTATGAACGTCAGCAGTTGAATACCAAAAGTTACCATGCACACAGCACAAAATGAAAGCAGCAATACCAAATTATGCCAACTAGAATATTTTCATATTAGGATACATAGTTACCTTTTCTTTATCCATACTGTCTCCATCATCAAGATATCCTTCACCAGGCTTGTCCTGTTTCAAAGTCTTCAGAAAATCACTTTTCTTGTCAGAGCGCATGCGTGTCAGTTTCAACATACGAGGTTGACTTGCTATGTCAATTGGTGAAGAAGAATTGGAACGACTACTCTATTGCAATAAATTGAATCAGTAAATTAATTCAAAGATAATGTACAGCACATTCAACGTACGACTTAGATAAATGATACATTTATTTCATCTGTTAGTGTTTTAACATAAGCAGACAACAACATATTCTACTTTCCAGAAAAATGTTACACACTGCACTAAATATTTTTGTAAAATTTCAGTAGGAAACAGTATGCAGATAGGCTTTAATCAGACAAGTAGATTCACAAGCTGCAACTTACGTCTAAAATATTTGTTACTGTATTGGATATACTGTGTGGAGAAAACTAGGATTTAAAATTAAAATAATTATAGCACGAATAGGAAGTATGAATCTTGCAACATTAATGTGCTGACTTGACAAACATAACTTCTGTATTCTATAAGCCATTATGGTCAAAGTACATTTACTATTAAATATAAATGTAAATGTTTAAATATGGAAAACCTACAGTCCATATTAAATTAAGATAAAATAAAAATCAAGGGTGTAGGGTAGATTTTCCTTTCCACTTGCTTCCTCACAGATTGGCACATATTAAATATTTATAAAGGAAAATGGCTCCATCAAAAAATAGGATACCAAAAGGATGACATAGAACATAGAACATAATAGCGCAGTACAGGCCCTTCGGCCCTCGATGTTGCGCCGACCTGTGAAACCAATCTGAAGCCCATCTAACCTAAACTATTCCATTATCATCCATATGTTTATCCAATGACCATTTAAATGCCCTTAAAGTGGGCGAGTCTACTATTTTTGCAGGCAGGGCATTCCACGCCCTTACTACTCTCTGAGTAAAGAACCTACCTCTGACATCTGTCCTATATCCATCACCCCTCAATTTAAAGCTGTGTCCCCTCGTGCTAGCCATCACCATCCGAGGAAAAAGCCTCCCACTGTCCACCCTATCTAATCCTCCGATCATCTTGTATGTCTCTATTAAGTCACCTCTTAACCTTCTCTCTAACGAAAACAGCCTCAAAACCCTCAGCCTTTCCTCATAAGACCTTCCCTCCATAGCAGGCAACATCCTGGTAAATCTCATCTGCACCCTTTCCAATGCTTCCACATCCTTCCTATAATGCGGTGACCAGAACTGTACGCAATACTCCAAGTGCGGCCACACCAGAGTTTTGTACAGCTGCAACATGACCTCATGGCTCCGAAACTCAATCCCTCTACCAATAAAACCTAACATACTGTACGCCTTCTTAACAACGCTATCAACCTGGGTGGCAACTTTCAGTGATCTATGCACATGGACACCGAGATCTTTCTGCTCATCCACACTACCAAGAATCTTACCATTAGCCCAGTACTCTGTATTCCTGTTACTCCTTCCAAAGTGAATCACCTCTCACTTTTCCACATTAAACTCCATTTGCCACCTCTCAGCCCAGCTCTGCAGCTTATCTATGTCCCTCTGTAACCTGCAACATCCTTCCGCACTATCCACAACTCCACCGACTTTGGTGTCATCCGCAAATTTACTAACCCATCCTTCTACGCCCTCATCCAGGTCATTTATAAAAATGACAAACAGCAGTAGCCCCAAAACAGATCCTTGAGGTACACCACTAGTAACTGAACTCCAGGATGAACATTTCCCATCAACCACCACCCTCTGTCTTCTTACAGCTAGCCAATTTCTGATCCAAACCGCTAAATCACCCTCAATCCCATGCCTCCGTATTTCCTGCAATAGCCTACCATGGGGAACCTTATCAAACGCTTTACTGAAATCCAAATACACCACATCAACCGCTTTACCCTCATCCACCTGTTTGGTCACCTTCTCAAAGAACTCAATAAGGTTTGTGAGGCACGACCTACCCTTCACAAAACCGTGTTGACTATCCCTAATCAAATTATTCCTTTCTAGATGATTATAAATCCTATCTCTTATAATCCTTTCCAACACTTTACCCACAACCGAAGTAAGGCTCACTGGTCTATAATTACCAGGGTTGTCTCTACTCCCCTTCTTGAACAAGGGGACAACATTTGCTAGTCTCCAGTCTTCTGGCACTATTCCTGAAGACAATGACGACATAAAGATCAAAGCCAAAGGCTCTGCAATCTCCTCCCTAGCTTCCCAGAGAATCCTAGGATAAATCCCATCCGGCCCAGGGGATTTATCTATTTTCACACCTTCCAGAATTGCTAACACCTCCTCCTTATGAACCTCAATCCCGTCTAGTCTAATAGACTGTATCTCAGTATTCTCCTCGACTACATTGTCTTTTTCCTGTGTGAATACTGACGAAAAATATTCATTTAGCACCTCTCCTATCTCTTCGGACTCCACGCACAACTTCCCACTACTGTCCTTGACCGGCCCCAATCTTACTCTAGTCATTCTTTTATTCCTGACATACCTATAGAAAGCTTTAGGGTTTTCCTTGATCCTACTTGCTAAAGACTTCTCATGTCCCCTTCTGGCTCTTCTTAGCTCTCTCTTTAGGTCCTTCCTGGCCAACTTGTAACTCTCAAGCGCCCTCACTGAGCCTTCACGCCTCATCTCTACATAAGCCTCCTTCTTCCTCTTGACAAGAGATTCAACTTCTTTAGTAAACCACGGTTCCCTCGCTCGACCACTTCCTCCCTGCCTGACAGGTACATACCTCAAGGACACGCAGTAGCTGTTCCTTGAACAAGCTCCACATTTCAATTGTGCCCAGCCCCTGCAGTTTCCTTCTCCATCCTATGCATCCTAAATCTTGCCTCATAATTGCCTTTCCCCCAGCTATAACTCTTGCCCTGCTTTATATACCGATCCCTTTCCATCGCTGAAGTAAACGTAACCGAATTGTGGTCACTATCACCAAAGTGCTCTCCTACCTCCAAATCTAACACCTGGCCTGGTTCATTACCCAGTACCAAATCCAATGTGGCCTCGCCTCTTGTTGGCCTATCTACATACTGTGTCAGGAAACCCTCCTGCACACATTGGACAAAAACTGACCCATCTGAAGTACTCGAACTATAGCGTTTCCATGCAATATGCTCAGTAGTTAGCACTGCCTCACAGTTCCAGGGATCGGCTTTGATTCTGGCCTCAGGCGACTGTGTGGAGATAGCATTCAGGAGGTGGGGAAGAGTGGAGATGGGTCTGGGTGCTGTGCTGTTGCTAAACCGGATTCCCAAAACACCAAAAACACCCGGGGGCGGGGGGGGGGGGGGGGGGGTGGGAAGTCAATAATCCCGGATTAAACAAGTGAATGGGGATAAGAGATTCTTTTCCTTCTGTAGGAACGACATTATTACTTTTGAGAGGATTCAGAAAAGATTTACAAAAATGTGCCAGGACTAGAGGGTTTGCATTACAAGGAGAGGCTAGATAGGCTGAGACGTTTTTCCACTGGAGCATAGGAAGTTGAGGAGTGAGTTTATAGAGGTTTATAAAATAACGAGGGGCATAGATAAAAGCGAGCAGCAAAAAAGGTCTTTGCCCTAGGGTAGGGTAGTTCTGAACTAGAACATATTTTTTAAGATGAGGAGAGAGATTTAAAAGGGACCTGAGGGGTAACTTCCCCCCAACCCCCCCAAGACAGAGTGTTTATGGAATCAACTGCCCAATGAAGTGGCAAATGAAGGTACAATTACAACATTTAAAAGACATTTAGACAGGTACACCAATAGGAAAGGTTTAAGAGGAATATGGGCCAAACGCAGGCAAAGGGGACAACATTAGTTTGGGAAACAAGGTTGGCTTAGATGAGTTGGACCAAAAGGGTCTGTTTCCGTGCTGTATGCATCTATCACTGAGGTTGGCGACCTGTGAGGTTCCAAAGGGATCAGTGGCAAGAACACAACTGTTCTCAATATACATGAATGACTTAGAGGAAGGAAGCAAATGTATCATAGCCAAATTTGCAGGCAACACAATAATAGATGGAAAGACAGTTTGGAAGAGGGATACAAAGAGTTTACAAGAGATATTGCTAGGTTAAGTAGGTGGGTAAAAAGTTGGCAACTGGAGTTTAGTGTGGAAAAATACAAAAATGTTCCATTTGGAAGGGAGAACAAAAGAATTAATATTTGAATGGAGAAAAAAAATGGTAGAAATCTCCAACACAGAGACAAGAGTACTCGTGCATGAAACAAAGTTAGCACATCACTGCAGCAGGAAATCAGGAAGGCTAATGGAACGTCAGCCCTTCATGTCAAGGGGTTGAAGTACAAAAAGAGTAGGGAGATCTTACCACAACTATTCAAGATGCCAGCGAGACCAAAACTGGAGTACTGCGAGCAGTTTTGGGCTGCTTATTTAAAAGAAAATATATCATTTCATTTGAGGTATTTCAAAGGCGGCTCACTGGACTGACCCCTGGTAAGGACAGACTGATTTATAAAGTGAAGGTTAAGTCGATTGGAACTTTACTCACTGGAATTTACAAGAATGAGGTGATCTCATTGAAACATGTAGGATTCTTAAGGGGCTTGACAGGGTCAATGCTGAGAGAATGTTATCCCTCATGGAAAAAGACTAGGACCAGAGGTCATAATCTCAGAATAAAAAGGGACACTAATTGAAGACTGAGAGGAGGAGGAATTTCTTTTCTCATGTGCTTGAGTGTCTTTGGAACTCCCTGCCAATGACAGCTGTGGGGACCAGAGTCTTTGTATATATTGAAACCAAGATAGATAAATTGTTCATCAGTAGGGGAATCAAGGGTCACTGAAAGGGCAGAAAAGTGGACTCGAGTGTTGATCAGCCATGATCCTATTGAATGGTGGTGCAAGCTGGACAATCTGAACAGCCTCAACCTGTTCCTATTTCTTACGCTCTTATGGTTTTGATTTTCAAGAAACCAATTCAGATGCAGTTTTAGAAACATTTGTCCAAAAGTAACTACTGTAGATGCCTTAACAGTGACACACAAATTATATTTCTGCTGATGGAGCTATCAAATAAAAGTCAGTGCACATGAACATTTCATCATCTCGAAGTAATTGAGGAAATTATGCAAGTTAGAGTCAATATGACTATTTGCAGAAAAGCCCCAACATATCACATTTATTACTTGATCCCTTGTTCGGAGCATACGGGGTCACAGCAATAATCTTAGTTTGCTGCAGTCCTCAAACTTTAATTGTTTCTTGTGTACAGGTTGAAGTTGATCGTGACAGTAAAAATATGAAAATAATTAAGTAATTTAAATAACACCCATTTGGAAAACAGACTCTTGTCATGCAGTGGTAGCGTCCATACCTGAGCCAGAAGGCCTGGGTTCAACTCCCATCAATTCCATAGCTATGTCAGAACAGGTTGATTAGAAAATATCAACCCCTATTCAGAATTTCTTTAAAAGGTCACTCGTGACTGTTCATCACTTAGGACAGAAAGTATTACTTTTCACAACTTCCATGAGGAATTTTGGTATGCTACAAAAATTGTACACATGTACAGTTTGCATTAAGTGAAATTCTTCCTTCTAATACTTTCCACAGGGCATATTAAAACGCAGCTAATTTTGAGGTGTGCAGGTATTGCCAATTAGGTGCTCATTCAAATCTCCATTGAATGAGAAATGGGAACTTGAATGAAGTCATTTCTCTTGCTCATCCTGTAAAACTGCATAACAAAGCGACTGTTGTTGTTTCATCATAGCTACCGTCTAAAAAAAATGATCAGAACGACAAATACTGTGCTATAACAACAAAAGAAAAAAGTGGTATTTGTCTCTCAAACAGAAAACTGCTTCTTTATAGGTTTTAAATGAGTTTCAATGGCTGTCACTTCCAATGCAGAAACTCAAACAGCCAGGAGCAAACCCAAAAAGTGTGTTACATGTTACATTCATCGAGAGTAGCCTCCAGAAATTCGCTGTGGGGAAAAAAATCTCGACCAAATGCTGATTTAAGCAAACTTACGACTGAGTCACTGGCCACAGTGCCCACTAATCCACCACAAAAACATCTCAAGTCAGTTTCTGAAAAATTAGTGACTTACTTTGCACAGTTTAAGTCTCCACACAGAACCGAGGGCATCAAGTGGAGTTTCATGACAAAACACATTTTAAAAATGAGCACAAAAAAGGTAATTCAATACTTCGTGAATACATAAAACTATACCTCCTTTAAAGAGTTTGGTGATGAACTGAAGGTTTGAGGTACAGGTTTTAGGAGAGCATTGAAGCTGACAAATGGAGTCCCATGTTTGTTCTCCTTCGCTGAGCCTTTCCACTGTGCAGGCTAAATAAAATAAATCAATTGTAAGTGGTTCCAATTATAAAATTGCAGACCATTAAATAGAACAAAGATGTGGGAGAGGAAAGACAAGATAGACAGAGCTAGAACTAGATCAGTCGATAGAGAGAAAGAAAGAAAGAGGAAAAGTACTAAGGAAAAGATTAAGAATGCACCAAAGGAGAAAGGGGTGGGAAGAGGCAGAGGTTTAAACATGCTGCCTTTTGTTCAAATCCCAATTAAATAGTTCTAAAATAATGAATTGCTATGAACTAATCAGGGGACTCAATATACAATAGCAAAAATCAGACAGTTTTTGGTTATTATTTAAATCAATAGATCGAATTTCAGTTCTGTAACATTGTAAAAGTTGGATCAAACTATACACAAACAATTTTTCCTCAAATCCAAATTTTCAATCATGCTGGTGTTGGACTGGGGTGGACAAAGTCAGAAGTCACATGACACCAGGTTATAGCCCAACAGGTTTATTTGAAATCACAAGCTTTCACAGCGCTACTCCTTCGTCAGGTGAAGTGAAAGTGAATGACTTCACCTGAGCAAGGAACAATGCTCCCAAACAAACCTATTGGACTATAACCTGGTGTCGTGAGACTTCCGGCAATTAGGAGTGTCTTAGTTTATCTACCCTCTATGATGACTTTTTACAGAAATATGGAAGGAATAAGATGGGTAATATTTCCTAACAGCATGCCTTTTTATAGGTAATAAACAAGGTCTATTAGCAACAAATTGTATTTTGTATTTGCATTTTGTATTTTAGTCTCCTTGTGGTGAAGAGATTACAAACACATGAATTTAACCCAGTAACTAACAGGCATCAATTGCGACATGTCTGTTCAAGTACAAGTTACCAACATTTCCATGTTTCCTTCCAAATCATACCCATTTCTAATTTTTAAAATAATCATTGTTATAGGGCATAATTAAGGAATATGCCAGCAACAGAACTCAAAGTTCACCACATAAAATAGTTGCTCAACAATGAATGAAACTCAACATACTAACTATCATCAAATGACAATGCAAACCCAACCCTGCTCCTTAGTAACATAGGGTGCTTGTGCCAAAACTGGAAGAGCTGCCCCCAAGATTAGTAAAGCAACAGTCCGACAGTTATACAGCATTATAAAACTTACAGACCCCACCGTTACCATTCTTGGGAATGTTCTCAAGAGTGAGATGACAGACTGACCAAAAAAGGTAGCTGCACAGCAGTATAAAATCAGAAAGAATTTGCACTAGGAGATCTCAGCATGTATTCTGGACCCTAAGGAGTCTCACTGGCTGAAGGAGGCCGAGATGAATTATTCACTTGGCACTGCTGGTTGAAGATGAATGCAAATGCTTCAGCCTTCATTTTTGCACTGATATGTTGGATTCTCTAGTAATTGACAATGGAATATCATGCAGCCACCTCCTCAACTTAATTGTTGGATCATCCATCATCATTACGAGATACTGCAGAATTGATGAGCTTTGATCAGACGTGTTCATTATGGGACCACTAAGCTCTGTCTATTCCATGCTGCTGCCACTAAATGGCATGCAAGTCTACGCTGCATTCTCATGAAGTTAACGCGTCTCATTTTTAGACATGCCACATGCTGGCCCTTGCATGTCCTTCTGCCCTATTCATTGAACTAAGGTTGGTCTTCAGCTTGATGGTAATGGTAAAGTCGGGTATGCACCAGGTCATAGGGTTACAGTTTGTGACTGAACATGATTTTGCTGTTGCTGCTGGCTCACACGACCCCAAGGATGCCCAGTTTTGGAGTTGCTAGATCTGTTCAAAATCCATTAAACTTTGCATATCTCCATAAGGTCTGTGCAGTGGTCGCTCAGCAATAGTGATGGACAGATGCAACTGTGAGAGATAGATTGATGAGAACAAAGTCAAGCAGGTTTGACTTTCTCAAACAAGAAGAGAAATTGCTGGCTAAACTCAGCAAGCCTGGCAGCATCAGCGGAGAGAATTCAGAGTTAACGTCTTAGGTCCAGTGACCCTTCCTCAAAACTTGACGAGAGGTCAGCTCCAGTGACGTATAACATTCAGGGAGGTGCGCTTGTCCTGAACAAGCATGTGAACCATATGAAAGCTGCAAACTTGCCAACTGTTCTGGAGCAAAAACGTGCCCAGCTCCTCAACAGCGTCTCGACTGTTCCGGAAACTGTGGGTTCTCCCTCTTCATCAAGCACTGAAGATACTTGAGAACGTGAGATGAACACAGCAGATTTTGCCACCTTGGCAACTTGATGGCCCGAAGAGAGAGTGAATTTTTTTTCCAAGACACCCAGGTGCAAGGAGGTCAACGACTGTGCGTTATACACCACTCATATCAGAGGCATAATCAAAGAACCTGACCCGGTGCTAAAAACGCTAGAGCAGCTACACGAAAATAAAGAACTGGCCTATATCCTCGGACCTGAGAGTGGGGGGTCAGTGATTCTACTGAGGTCAGCCAGGTGGACCTCAGAATAAGTTCCCTGTTTGGGGCTCTTACTAAAGGTCTGATCAGGGAACCCTGGCTGACACATACAAACAGGAGTGTCAGACATCCTGTTCACTCAGCTGGCTCTAGCGGAGCTGGGCAGTTTCAAGGGCTCACCACGTGTAAATAAAAGAGTGACTGGGTGCCAGGATACCAGCCTCTGGAGTTATTTCATACCTCATTTGAAACAGGAATGCCCCTACATAAAGCCGTGCTGACTATCCCCAATGAGTCTATTCTTTTCCAAAAGACTAAAATCGTGTCCTTTAAGAATCTTCTCCAATAGATTGCATCAGTGGTGGGCAAGTTGAGTTTGTTTGGTTTTAACGGTGTGATCTCTCACTGAGACAGAAGCATGCAATACTGTAATTCTGGTTTTAATCATAAAACAGAACAGAATCTTACTACGCAAAAGAAATAACGATAAAATAGAATCAACTGAGCTATCTGGAGAATATAACTTAGAGATTTCAAAACCATGAGGGACATAGATAAGGTGAATAACAAAAGGTCTTTGCCCTCGGGCGGAGGGGTTCAAAACTAGAGGGGATAATAAAAGGTGAGAGGAGAGAGATTTAAAAAGGAGAAGCAACTTTTTCCGTGGAGGATGGTGCAGATGTAGAATGAACTGCCAGAAGATGCAGGTGTAGTTACAACATTTAAAAGACATGTGTGCAAGTACATAAATAGGAAAGGTTTAGAGGGATACAGGCCAAATGCAGGCAAGTAGAACTAGTTTTAGTTTTGGAAACTTGGTTGGCATGGATGAGTTGGATCAAGGGGTCTGCTTCCATGCTGTATGGCTACGATTCTATAACTGCAGGATAAAATAAAAAGAGAACTCCTGTCTTTTCAGAGATTTGATTGCTTCTCCCAAACATTCACATCTCTCAGCTGTTCAGGTATCTGACAGCCAACTAAATAGATGTTAACACGGATAACTGCTAACTTATCACTCGTCCAAAGATCAAACAGCTACTTGTTGCCAGCCAAAGCCCCATTCATACACACAACTTGGCTCCAGCTTGACTGCAAACTCTCCTTGCACTATACCAGGAACAAGCAACTGTGTCAACAATACTGAGTATTCAAGTTGCTTGCTTTCAAGAAGTGCAATAATCCTTCAACAACACTTGGTTAAATAACCTCGTAAAAAGGCATTTCAGACCACAAAAATTCAGGAAAATAAAAGATACAGTCTTTACACACAGATCAGGCTAAGAGTTCTGCACAGACTGTAGAACTTAGGGTTGCTCCCCTTAGAGCAAAGAGAAACTGTTGAGCGTTTCAGTGGTCAATAACCAGTGGTACCAATTTAAGGCAAGTGGCAAAAAGGCCAGAGGTTGCAGGAGGAATAAAAAAAAAAGTATTCATGCAATGGCTAGTTAGAATTTTGAACACACTGCCCAATTTGGTTACGGATACAGATTCAAAAGGCATCTTCAAAAGAGATTTAGATGACTACCAAAGGAGAAAGAATTGCACAGGTATGATGGAAGTGGACTAACTAGATTGCCCTTGAAAAGAGCTGGCATGGACCTGATGGGCTGCATGGCTTCCTTTTGTCAGTAATATTTCATAATGCTAATGACAGCAACCTTAGCTTCTCTAGTCTCTCTAGATGACTGCAATGGATGCACAATTCATTGCATCCTTTGCTTTCCTTACACAGGGAAATCCAAAAAACATCAGTTACTATAATCAGAGGTTTGAAAATATTACACTAAAGCTTGTTTCTGTTTAAAATTTATTGACTCTTCCCCATTACTTCGTTGAGATAGGCAGATTGTTGATCAGGAGGAGAATCAAGGGGTACAGGGAAAGGGCAGAAATGTAAATTTGAGCAATGTCAGATCAGCCACGATCCTATTAAATGGTGGTATAGGCTAAAGGGGCCAAACAGCCTACTGCTGTTTCTATTTCTTATGGTAGAAGCTTTCATTGCTGCAGGTATCCTTTTGCCACCTATTCAAGAACATTGGCCTCGACGGACATTACAAATCAGTTTCAATTTGGCCTGAATTAGTTCCAATCATGGCCTTATCTACGTTTCCCACTGCAGATCTCCTAAAATTTGTCGTCATTTAACCAAGTCAAAAATATTGAGCTTTACAAGACTAGTCTTCAATAGAACACAAAAATGAGTTTTTTTTTTCCATGCCTTATTCCTTTTCAAAGAAGTTTTTGTTTGGTTTAACTGGGTGATCTGTTTCAAAGTACTTCGGAAACTTCAAATTAGTCAAGAGACATTTTAATGCATTGCCGAGTCAGAATTAAAAAGCACTGAAATGGAAATTTCTGACCTAAAAATTAAGTTATTTCTACTTCATCTTGTACATCAAAACTTCAAAGCCAGGCATAATTGCTCTGGGCCTTTTGCTTGCAATTTGTAGAATGGCAAAAAGATTCCAAATGAAGCTTCTGCAGTGGACAGCTATGGGTTTTCCTACAGAGATTGTGTGTGCAAGGAGTCAGTCTCCCCACCCCCACTTTCCCTTTAGGTTCTTGTGTACTGTCAAAAAGATACCCTAAAATAATATGTAGGCACACACAATGATAGGCAAGACCAACACATGGTTAGCAATGCTATTAGTTATCAAAACACTTGATGAATTTACTTGCTGAAAAGTTGCACTTCAGATAATTACATCCTCTAAACTAAAACCAGATAAAGTTAGCTTTTCAACTTTAATGCAAGCCACTTAACAATATTTGTCTAAATAGCTTCAAATTAAAGTTGGGCTTTAACCTTAATTATTTCTGCACGATAAAATGGAAAAGATAGTTGGAAACTTGCCATTAAACAAGAATTATTATTACCCATTGCGATAAGATTTCACCTTACCTTTGCTGGAGGACCAGCAGCCTTAGGAACCAATCCCTTATAGACACTGGGTCCTGTCCCATTCTTCACAGGCTGGGGATGAGATCCCCCTGTCAGAGGATATCCTGGTAGTATTGGTTCTTCTTTGAGGACCTTTTTAATGACCAGCATTTTGGATGTTCTAGATTTTGGATTTGGAGGATTTTCTACATGACAGAAAAAAAAAATTACATGTAAATTTGCAGATTAAGTTAGCTATCAATGCTGTTACTAACTGTGCAAATGCTGAGGATTGAATGAAAAGGTGAGACAAACAGGATTAAGTATAAGGTAGTAAGGAATGAAATTTATTGAAATTACTTTACACTGACCAACAATACAACAACAGCAAAATTAGGGATGCACAATGATTCTGGATCACATTTAAGAGAAAAAATAGATCAGAATTTAATGATTAGATTGATTTCCTATCCTCTATGCAAAGCAGACAAGAGGCATTATCTTTGCTTTTTACATGCTGACCCCAAGAATACATTTGTATGCATATGGCATGTAAATGTTTATCAAAGTAGGGATTGAAAAGAGAGAAGCATAGAGAGAGAATTCTGAAGCAGATAAATGAGGCACAACTACCAGTAATGAAATAAAATAGAAGACATGAAGTTCCAACTAGTGGAGATCTCAAAAGATTCCAAATTTTTCATAGTATGCGCGCACTCTTCGGAAGGGCACTGTGGACTGTTCTTCTCTGGTCAAGCAGAAGGATGCTGCTCACATTTTAGACTTACAAACGAAGAATGAACATTGAGATAAGGTGTTCTCGTAATTTCAAGTTGCACACACACCGTGACACCTGAGTTTGCTGACCTGGATCCATTTTCAGATCACAAACACCTAAAAATTAAAATTCTCATCCTCTTAAATCCACCAGGGCTTCATCCTTCCACAAGCCTGTAAATTTCCTTATCTATCCATCTTCAAAATCCTCCCAAAAATACATTTTCTGACAATTACTCCTAATGTCTCCTTACTCAGCTCAGCATATAAAATATAGCTTTATATAAATATTCTCCCAAACAACATGGAATTTTTCCTACATTTAGAAGCACTATATCAAAGCATGTTGTTGGGCTTCACTTATGCATATTGAAATAATTCCACAAAGGCTGGTATGCCATTATCAAGTCACCCTTTATTTACATGGGTACAGCCTCATTATGGCAAGTTCTAGATAACCTGGCCTCCATCCTGGTACCTTTGCTTCAATCCTTGGAATTGGTCATTAAGCCAAACCCTAGCTTTCAGGGGAGTGAAGAAGATGATAGTTGTTTCTAAGGTGTTGGCACACTGATCCCAGACAAGATCTGGTACTGACATGCAGTGCCTCTCCCCTCATGGCATCGGGGTAGTATCAACTCATAGGCGGCCCATGGCAGACTTTGTTACAATCGCTAAACATATTGAAGATTTTCAAGTAGCTGAAGAGTTCAAGGTCTTATTCCTCATCTGTGACTCTACTTCAACTGGTTCTCTTTTAATGCAGCAGATTTGTAGCTTAATTGCCCTATTATCTCTTTTACCTGAACGGCTTGCAATTTTCCCGTTTAGACCACATACTTACTCAAAGCTTCAAAGCCTTTGATTGAGCAGTTTAAGCCTATGCTAGCTGGAATTTTAAGAATGAGACTTAATTGAGGTATCCAAGATGCTAAAGGGGATTGACAATGTAGACGTAAAAAGGACATTTCCTCATGTAGGGCAACGTAATACAAGAGATCATGGTTTTCAGTTTGCTACCCCTCATCCTCAAACTGAGGCAAGGAGAAATTGCTTCTCTGAAAAGGGTCATGAACTTGTTTAATTCACTAACCCAGAAAAGTAGTGAATGCTGGGACATTGGAGGAGTAGATAGATGGATTTTTAATTCATAACAAAATGGAAGGATTATGGTGAGTTCACAGCAAAGTGGAGTTGAGGCCAAGATGAAATCAGCTATAATTGTATCAAATGGCAGGGCAGCTCAAGGGACCGAGTTCTCTATTCCTGCTTCTAGTTCTTATCTTTGCATTCTAAGGCTTGTATCAAACAAAGGCAGCCACAAAAGGTAATTTTCATTACCTTTATCCTTCTTGCTGTGCCTTTCATCAATAAAACAAACTTGAAGCATACAAAAGTTGCAGTGCTGTGATACCAATGAACAGGAGATTTAAAACTATGGCTCTTCAACACAAAACCGGAGAGAGAAACAGGTTTAAGTTATGCTATTTTTTTGTTACTCAAAAATGATTAAACTGATGTAGGCAAAAAGAAAATTATGAAAGATCACTTCTATTATAACTGCTGCCCCAATTACTGATATCATGCCATTTATATCATGTAATTACTGACACTGGGGATATCCTACTGCAGGAACCTAGTCCTAAAAATACAGTTGCTCAGAATTTCAACAACACAAAAAAGATGCTTCAATAGTCAGAGTAGATTAACTTTGTGCGCTTTAACTGAAGAAATAAGAAATAGCTCAAATATTGTCAAGGGCCATGTGAAGTCGGTCCTTATTTCAAGGGGGTTGGAGTTTAAGAGTAGGGAAATCTTATTGCAAATTACAAGACAAGTGAGACCACATCTGGAATATTGTGAGCAATTTTGGTCACCTTATTTAAGGAGAGATCATTCCATGGGAAGCAGTTCAGAGAAGATTAACGAGGATGATCCCTAGTACGAAGGGATTATCCTACGAGCAGCAGTTGAACAAATTGGGACCACTCACAGGAGTTAAAAGAGTGAGCGGTGATTGCATAGAAACATAGGATTCTTGAAGGACTTGACAAGGTAAATATTGAGAGGATGTTTCTCCTCATGGGAGAGTCTAAGACCAGAGGGCATATTCTCAGAATAAAGAGGTGCCAATTTCAAAGCGAGGTGAGGAAGAATTTCTTCCCTCTGATTTGAGTGTCTTTGGAACTCCTTGCCACCGAGAGCTGTGGGAGCAGAGTTCCTGTGTGCATTTAGGCGAGCTAGGTAAACTCTTGCTCAGTAAGGGAATCATGGGTTACCACAAAAGTGGATGTGAGGAACGTCAGATTGGCAGTGACCCTATTGAATGGCGCAGCAGACTCGAGGGGCCGAATGGGCTATTCCTGTTCCGATTTCTTATGGAAGGAAGAGCAAAATTGATCTTCATTTTGGAACTTACATACTCTTTAAAAGTACTAAATCCAAGTGTAACATCTACCACCATCTTCTACCTAAGAGAATTAGCAAAACTATTCAACCATAGGTTGATGTGAACGATTAATAAAATTACATTGTAAAAGGTACTATTAAAATTTAGCAGTACTTGGCGTATTTTTATAATAAAGCCACAGTTATCTGGTTAGTTAAAAGCATTTTAAAAAAATAAACATTCATAGTCTGTTTGTCAGAACTTAAGTTTGAGGTCAGAATTAAGAAAAACTATTGTGAAGTAACCCATGCTTCAATATGGCTGACCGCAAATTATTGAGAAGAAAGAAATCTCATTATAGGTCTGTTGAGTATTTTCAGCAATTTGTTTTATTTTTACATGTCCAATTATCAGCTTCTTTAGTTTTTGCTTTGAGTGAAATATGTCTATTCATTTCCTGTGAAGCGAAATTAAGTAGAGCCAAACATCTGTCTACAACATTGCAGCCTGGTAGGCACCTGCAACCGTAACAGATACTACAGCTCGTAAAGCTGTAACAACTCAGGCCTATGTTTTAAAATTTATATGGCGCAACGACCAGGTGCCCAAGCTTGGCATATAATTAATTAATTTTGAATAGTAGTCAGTGTAAAAATATCTAAATGCAGCAGTAAACTCTCACAAAAGAGCAGTGCCACAATGACCAGATAATCTGCTTGTGTTGATAATTGAGAGATGAAGAATAGCATGAAATCTTTTACACCCAAAGACAGCAGGCAGGGACTCACGTTAACATCATCATGTTTGACATAAAGCATTCCCTCAATACTGCAGTGAAATAGTAGTTTAGATTGTGGTGGTCAAGCCCAGAATGGACTTTAAACCTACAACTTTCTGACTTTCATGTACCAGTTGAGCCAAGTTGCCACATTGTGTTTTATTGTCAACTGTTTGTTCTGCAAGAATTTTATTGATCTGTTGTTAGTGCTATTATCTCTGGGGAAAAAAAAACCACGATCAGTGTCAGAAACTTGAAATATATTAAAATTAATGTATTTAAACCTCTTCCTGGACCCCAAGATATTTTGGTTTAGAATTATGTAGCCTAAAAAGACTTCATAATAATTTAGTGTAAGAATTTCAAATAAATTTATACTTTTTTTGCATTGGTTAAAAATTGCAAACAATAACTAAGAATTAGTCAGTAAACTCACCCCATACACCTGCAATGGATTTGTTCTTGCCAAGTTCTTTTTTAGACTCAGGATTAAGTGATGGCTAGAAGGAAAAACAAAACAAATATCATATGATTGAGAAACATGCTTGCAAACAACATTAAACTTTCAACCTACAGCAAAAAATTTGAGAAATTTGCAATACTCAAACAACAAACTGGGTCTCACCGAAGCAATTCAACGCTCTAGGACTGAAAGACTGAACAATGCAACTTTTTCCTTACTTTGCTAATCTAATAAAAAAAGTGGGCACAGTATGCATGGGTGTTTGGAGAGCTTCTGGGTATCTGTCTATCAAATGGAAGTTTTTCTGTATAGAGGATGGAGAGAGAGACCAGGATAAAAAGTTATTTATTCTCAAAAAAGTTCCTTCCCTCAAAATCTAGATTCATAAGGCAAAAATCTCTTAAGCATCCAATGCTTAAAACTGCTTTGAATCAAACAGTCTGTGCAGCCTTTTGTTTTTATACTCTTCCTCCATAGTCATTTCACACCTGACAAGCTCCCAAGTTTCGATCAACATTCTGCATTCTGAAAGCCACCTGAAGTCACTTTTAGCTTCTGCCTAGAATAGGCTAAGTACCTGACATGTTGATGCTGCTAAATGAATACTAGAGTTAACTTAGCAACATAACTGGTCATTTGTCCTCAGGAAAATAGTTACAAAACCACAGATTCATTCTTGTTGCAAAGTTTTCAAATCATTAACTTACTGCACCATTACAACAGATCTATGGACACTTCCATACCTTATTAAAATCTATTAGGTTGTCAATTCTTCATATGTTGTCGTAGGTATTGTTTTTCAGAGAGGTCTCATTAATCATTATTTAAACAAAGATTTCATTTGTAACATTTAATGTTAATGGCTGTAGCAGCCCCTCCTCCCCTATAAAACTAACCACTGTAGTTAGGCAAATAATTTTGAAAGTACAATTATTGAAATATTCAACTTATGTCAATTTCTCTCTTTTTGGTACAAAAAGAAGAAAGTTGCCAAAGTGGGCACAACAGGAACTAGGAAGGTAGCCAAAATGTTTCTGAATGCCTGAGCATGAGGGTACACTTACTTGGGTCGACGTAATCATTAAATGCTGGAGACTTCAGGAAATCACTTCATTCAAGTAAATTGAGTTGTCATCTAATATAAAATTTCAACTCTAAACCCAATACTCAGAATTCATTACTTGAAACAGAAAAAGCAAACTCAAAAAAAAGCTGTTAATTGAATTTCTTGCAATTGTTAGCATTTACAAGTAATTCCATCAGTAAAGCTCTTTAAAAATCATAGTACTCAACTAATTGTGGAAGCTTTTAGTGTGTTGTTAAGTATGCTCACAATGATATTTTTTACTCCGGCATTTAACTAACTCAGTTACAATAACAGACAAGCTGTTTTTTATAGGTTGATCTTGCATTAAAATTTTACACTAAGGTATGACTTGTGGAACAAGTGGCATATGCTTCACATGGAATATCCAAGATGATAACGTGCCAATGATGTAGTCTCATCTTTCAATGATAAAAAATGGTTTGCCCAATCAGTTTCAAAACATCTCATACCACAATGTTAGGCAACAGAATAAAAAACAAAACTAAATCCTTGTGTAGCAATCATTTAAACTTTACGATGTCATGCCAAATAGATCAAATCAAAATTGACAGACTGACATTTTTTTAAGAAGTTAAGTACAGAATCACCTAGCTGTACTTTCTTATCAACAGTTTTGAATAAAAGCACGATGCTCTTACATACAATTTTTAAACTATTAGCTGATCGCCTTTGGCATTGTTCCAAGTCAGAGTACACATCAGCTTAATATGGCAGGAAGTGTGACGCTGTTGTGAAGTGAGTGTAGTTCACAAGATGCATAATTTTATATCTGTAGATCAACTACGAATGTTCCTTATGGTTACTCAATGTTATTTTTTTTTTTAAATATTCAAGGAACATTGACGTCACGTAGATCATAATTCTAGGACAAACTAAACTGCTTTCAACCTGTATCCGTCAGGACTTTCTTGACATTAATAAGATGCTATGCCACACATGAAGCAGAAATTTAGATCCCAAATTTATGGCTGTGACATTTCTCTAGTACGCAAAGCAAGAGGAAGTTGGGAAATGGGTAAGTAGTCTGATATTTTGCCATCATTGTTTCTCAGACAAACACATACTCTCACTTTCTTTTTAAAAAGAAAATCAAATACAACATCAAACCAAGTGTAGCCTTCTGCTTTACTGTAGAAAATTTTGATATGCACATAATTAAAAGTTGGCACGAGAAAGAAAGCAAACAGGCACTTTCTTCTCAAGGCTCAGAGAACGTTGTGCTAAAGTTAAGTATTTCAGCACTTTGGCTGAATAAACATGGCAGACAGGTCCTCAAAGACTGAATGCGCTGCAAGTTAAAAATTGTGGAAAAGCACCAGATATTCTCTCCTACTAAAGGAGATCCTTTGTCCCTGCAATCATTTGACCTTTACTAAATTACAACACTAACTTTTCAAAGTACTTCAGCTTTGAGACATTCCAAAAGCAGGAAAGGCACTATATGACTGCAAGTCTTTCACTCAACAACTATCCTCAATGATATAATGACTCAGGGGTCAGGACATTAAAATTCCATGATTCTGTTGACTGGATATGGTAATTTCACATCTGTCCACATTTACATATCTTTCAACTTATGAGAGGCAAGTTGATGAACAGTTTAAGAGAAAGTTATTCTGACTGCACAATCACCATTCAGCCAGAGTCACACCTTCAGTTTCACTCGTTTACACAATCACCAACTGCACAAATCTCACTTGTGCTGACACTAAAATGTCCATTCTTTCATTTAACATACATTAAGTCATAACTGGCAAACTACTATTTCTATTTGATTCTCAAAGAAACCAATTCACGCAAGGAAGAATTCAGTCCCAAATATGAAACAACTAGACAAAATGCACTTTCCCCAAATGAAAGACTGATCCCTCTTCATCATTTAACACAACGTAACATCACATATTTTCACTACAAGTATATTACCTTGCAATATCAAGTAAAAAGATCAACCAGGCTCATTCTCAAGTACTCAACAAAACACTTAGCTGTTAAGCATGAGGACTTGCCAGAGCACGAGGCAAAGAAGGGAGAAACTAAATGCCATTTAAAAGTAGCTGCTTAGACTTGCACAGTGGTTTATGACATATTTTGCTTCAGACAGAGCTATTCTACATTCATCCAAAACAATGACGTTAATTTTAAATAACTGCTTTCGATGCAGTACATCAAATCAATTATTACAGCTGTCAAATTTCCAAAAATTATTGGAAACACTGCACTTTAAGGCTGGAATAATGCCTCCACTTAATGTTCCACTAACAAGCATCAAAACGAAGGCATCTATGCCAGTGTGAAATGAAGTACAACACTGTACTTAACTTGACGCTGAAGATTAGGAAGAAGATTGCACATAAGAAAAAGGTTTCATTTGTGATTGTTTCTTGCCTACACCAGTTGTGCTTGCTAAGCTTTAAACAAGAGCTTCAAATCACATAGCAAGATGGGTATCAAGGAACATCTTTAAAGTAGATGCAGAGAAATTTATGAAGAACTTTCTAGAGTTTTTAAGCATATACATGTGACGGTATTGTGGCCTGAAAGTAGTAACAGATGTACAAGAGACCAGAGTTATAAGAATGCAAAACTCTTGTGGGTTGTAGAATTGGCGGTGGTTATGGAGTTAGGGAACAATAAAGTCAGAGGCTGAAATTAGCATAATTGAAACCAACAACAAAACATTAATTCCAGCACCTTAGATGTGTCTCTCTATGTATGATAGCACAGAAGGAGACTAAAGTGGCCAGGGCCTAAATAGGGACAAGTTTACCACTAATTAGTAACATTTAATACAGTAAAACTGGTAAAGGAGAAGCTGCACCAATACAAAGCAGGAATAAAGAGGCAGTTATTAAGAATAATTTAAACGTATGGTTGCAGGCAACAAAGCAAGAGCAAAGAGCAAAATGAAACAAAACTCACATTGAACAATATAAACAATGAACTTGTAATGATTACAATCTTGTCTCTTGTATTCCATGTCAAAACAACAGGATATAACTAATGTTACTTTATCTTCAATCTACCTGTTGTGGATGTGTATGACAAAGACAGCATGATTTGGAGTGACTCCCACTCAGCCTGCAAAGACCAAGGCCCATCTTCAGGGTATTCCCTCCAGTGAATTGAACCCCACCCCACCAACTTTCAATACTGGCAGATTCTAACAGGATGGTAAAGGCTATGCTGAAACATTTACAATAGTCTTCTACTGGAACATCAATTGGTTGGTTCTTGCTAAATTTTCCCGTACCACCATCATAGCTACCAGTCTTCTGCCAATTCACATGGCATTTAATTGCCCTTAACACGGTGAAGACCATATGAACATGGACTGGATTAGGCCGTTCTGCCATGAAGCGTATATGACGGCACAGTAGCTCAGTGGTTAGCACTGCTGCCTCACAACGTCAGGGACCCGGGTTCGATTCCACCCTCGGGCAGCTGTCTGCGTGGACTTTGCACGTGTATGCATGGGTTTCCTCCGGGTGCTCCAGTTTCCCCTCTCAGTCCAAAGATGTGCAGGGGAGGTGGATTGGCCATGCTAAGTTACCCATAGTTGTGTAGATTCGGTGGGTTATGGGAGATGGATCTGGGTGGGATGCTTTGAGGGTCGGTGGAGACTTGTTGGGCCGAAGGGCTTGTTTCTGCACTGTCGGGATTCTATAATATATTGCTAAAGACCCGTGTTCTAGAATCACATACAGCCCTAGCAAGGACTATTCCAATACAGTTGCAGCCTTGCCATTAACACAACGTTGAAAATTATTACGTTATATTTGGTCAAAAAAAAAAAAGAGCAGGGCAAATCTAAACCAACCTATGTGCAATAGCTGAATTCCAAGTTATTTGTACTAATTGATACCAAGGCAGCATCCACCAAATGTAGCGTCAAGGAGCCCAAGCAAAAGAGATGTCAGCAGAGATCAAGGGAAATTGTTCATTGGCTGTAGTCATAACTGGCACAAAAGATGATGGTTAATCTTTTCAGCCCCAAAATATCATTGTAGCTGTTTCCCAGAGAAGCAAATGGGAGCCCAAATTTCTTCAGCTACTTCACTGATGAACTTCCCTTTATCCTAACATGAGAAGTTCACTGATTATTGCAATTTCCAGCTCAATTCAAAATTGCACAGTTAAGCAGCATCCATGTCTGCATGCAACAAGACCTGGACAAAACAAGGCCAGAGCCAGACTGAATACAGCCATTTGGCCAACTGAGTTTGAACTAGTTCTCCAGAGTAACCTAATCAATCCCATTTCCTAGTTGATCGCATAGCATTGCAAGTTCACTCCTGTCAGGTGCCTATCCAATTTCTTTTGGATATCATGGATTATCTCTGCTTCCACCACTCTCAGTCAGAGAGTTCAGATTTGTTGCATAAAAAAAAAAACACAGATTTTCCTGATCTGCACGGTTTGAACTCATCATAAAACCAGTACAGTCTGCAAGTCTCCCTTCAGTCTATTCTCCAAGGAAAACAAATGGCAGCTTCTCCAATGTAACAGCCTAACAAAAATTATTCTGGTAATTTTCCCTCTGCATGCTGTAATGGACTTTCACATCTTCCCTAACTTGCAGTCCTCCACTGGATGCAGTACTCTCGTTAGGGCTTAACCAAAGCTTTATTAATGGTTCAACATCATTTCCCTACTTCTGTATCCAATCTTTCATTTTGTCCTGCTACCTTCAGACATCTTTGCACATGCATTCCCAGGTCTCTGTGCACCTGCAAACGCTTTTTGGAGCCAGGCAATTAAACTGGACCTTCCCTCTGCCTTCTGCTGAAATTCCTCACATCATAGTTCCCATTATTGAACTCCATCAGCGACTCTTCTACCTCGTCTGCTAGCCTGCTTTCCATTGGAGTTGATAAGTGTCTTCACTGTTAACCATGGAAATTTTACTTATTCCCCAAGATCCAAGTTATTTATGTGGTCAGAAGAGCAACGGTCCTAGTACTGATGCTTGGGAAACACTGTGTACAATCGTCCAGTCTGAAAAATCAACCATGTAGAAAAATGTCCAGAAGCCAATTTTTTTGTTAAAATCAATTTGACATAGACCTTCTTTATTCATGAGGGCCCATTAACCAGCCTTTTATCCAGTATTTTGGCTAAATGTTTTCCTAAGATTTACACAGACATTGTAAATACCAAAAAATACTTAACACGTACCAAGTGATAACCTTTTCCAATGAGATTAATCATAACCTCTTCGCCTTCCATGACATTATGACCACTGGGACCAAAATCTTGATGGTCAGTTACCAGAAATGCCGCTGGGTCATCTATGCAAATATTCTGACCACTACATTAAGTCAGAAGCGCATGTTCACTAAGCAATTCACCCCACAATTCCCCAAAAGCTTGCCACTGCATACATGCATAAGTCAAGAATGCGATGGAATACTTTTTACTTGCTTGAATACACACTCGTTGCAACAACATTCATGCTCTGTACAATCTTTGAAAAGAAGCCCACTTGATTGGCACTTTACCTACCAGTCTCAACATGAAATCTTCCAGGATCAACATAGCATGGATAATACAATTAGTTTCTGATCTATGCACAGCAGCACCTCAAACTTAAAATCCAAATGGACAAGGGTACATGAGGACATCAGTTACATGTCCCTCTTCGACTCACATCTTGACTTAGACATTTACCAAGATGTCTGCAAGCATGACCTAAAAGCATTGTGAAATCACAACTACGTGGACTGTAACAGTTCGAAAAGGCACATAGCAATACTTTGGCCATGTAGACTTCCTTACTTATGCCTACTTCTAGAATTTTTAAGTTAAAGAAAAAAACTTTCCTATTATTACACATAGTACAAAAGTGCCCTTTGAAAGATAGCTGTGAAATGAAGCTTTGTGCTATTTTAAAGAGTGCAAAGTGCTTCTTGAAGCGAAACATTCGTATAAAATAACAATATTTTACAAGAATGGTCCCAGGGTTGAACAGCTTGTCATACAATGAATGGTTGAGAACTCTGGGTCTGTACTCGCTGGAGTTTTGAAGGGTGAGCGAGGGATCTGACTGAAGCTAAAGAAAACAGAGGTTTGGATAGAGTGGACACTGAGAAGATGGTTCCACTTATAGGAGAAACTAGGATTCCAGGACACAGTCTCAAAAAGTGAAGGGATAACCCTTTACAACTGGCATGAGAAGGAATTTCTTCAGCCAGACTGATTGACCTGTGGAACTCATTGCCACAGAGGGCTGTAGAGGTCAAGTCATTTTTAAGACAGAGAAAGATAGGTAAAGGGATCAAGAGTTTCAGGAAGAAGGCAGAAGAATGGGTTGACAGCCATATCAGCCACAATAAAATGATGGAGTGAACTTAACGGGCTGAATGGTCTAATTCTGCTCCTATAATATTTGGTCTTCACACGCTTGAAAGCACTAAACATCTATTAACTCAGATGACCCGGCATTCCCAATACAAGTTGGCTAAAACGTTAGTTCAGGTTGTTAGATTGTATGAAATATAGGATCAGCATGCCAAAATTATATGTATTTACAATCCCTATCTTACCATAGATGAAGGTACTCTTTTATACTCATCTTATAATTTATCACGAATAACCAGAGTCAAAACTTTTAATCATTTTAAACCTATTTAAATTCATTACCTACCACAATATAGTGGAGTGGGGCAAGGGGTTCAGGAAAAGAGCACCAGAACAGTAGAAACTCATCAAGAAACAAAAAAAAAACGTAAAACATGGGTTCAATTTCATGAAGATTATTCAACTTGCTCACTGAAGCATTGGGGGGCGATCTCAGTCAAAATAAGAACTCATGTAACAACTTTGAATAATTTTTCGTTATTAGAAGCATTTAAAACAAAAAGCATTCCTCAATTCCAACTCTCAACATTCTTTAACCTTGTGGATTGCTGATCGGATCACATCATTTTGCTTTCCAGATGCACCCAAAGATATGTTTGATTTTAAGTGTTGGCTTGTAACAGATAAGAGCAGTTGTCTAGTTTTGTGTACCTGGCAGTGAGATGCACCAAGGGAAATTACAGGTCAGTGAGTATGCAATTACTTAGAAGGTCCACTATTTTCTGGCGACTAATGTATTTGGAGTCTCCGCCAGGAACTCAAAACAAAAATACCTTGTCATGATGGCAGATTGGGCATCTAGTGAAGGAGCAAAAACAATTGCATAACCAAAATATTGTTTTAGAAAAAAAGATAAAATCAACCAATTGAAATTATAGCATTTCTTGCATCATGTATTCATCTTGTGCAATGGCTTCCAAACATACACCTAACGTGGTAAATCAGATGTGATGGCTTAAATGCACAACTACAAGCATAAAATGTGTCAGATTACTTGATGAATTTAACATCCTTTTTAAATTTGGATTGTAAAGTCAATGATTGGTCAAAGATAATTTTTTTTAAAAAAATCAACCTACAAAATCCTCAGCCTCAAACTGCTTAGATTTCTCCTTTTCTTCCTTTTTCCCATTTTCATCTTCTGTTAAGTTATTCTCATGCAATGCCGGGGCTTTTCCTCCATGGAAAGTACCACTTCTAGGACGGGGATTCCCTCCGTGGTAGCCACTTCTTGGATTTACAGTTTCTGTGCCCCGTCCTTGCGACCGCCAACCATTTTTCTCTTTTCTTCCAAAGTTTCCTGCAAACCAGACATATTTTATTTGCAATTTGCAAACACTAATAAAAAGAAAGCCAACTGAGTTTGATAATAAAACTACCCAACATGCAAATCATTATAAAAAAACCTTAGGTGTCAATATATTTCAAAAAAATCAAATTTTAGATCAATTCAAGACATCTTATTTAAAACCAAGACAACAGGATCACATAACATGATTCCAATCTAAAATTTTGGACCAAACAAAAGGAAGCCTGATCAAATGCTTTGTCAGCAAATGGACAGGAAAAAGCTTGAAGTAACAAACACCATCAAATCTAGTCTGCCAAAAGACCCGAGTAACCAACAAAATGAGCCATCAATGTTCCTGCATTCCTGTGTGCTAATTAGTGCAAGAAGAACATATCTTTTTGTAACTGCAACATACTGAACTATCTTCAAGATGCTTCGAAGAAGAAAATTTGAGGGCAAACAGCCAAAAGCTTGGTCAAAGGGGCAGGTGTTAAGCAAAACATGTGGCAGAAAGGCAGAATTTTTGCAATAGAATTGCAGAGCATGAGGCATTGAAAACTGATAGCTCAGCAACCACTTGTGATGCAACTAAAATATTGGATGATTAACAGGCTAGAATTCCAGGGCTTAGATCTCTGCAGATTTAGGAAATAATAACTTTTTAATAAAAACCAAGGCATTGCTTGCATGGAAGCCCACGTAGGTCAGCAAGCAGAGGTGATAAGTGATAAGTGATAAGGACTTGGTGCAACAACTTCAAAAATCATCAGCATGTTCTACACCCATATAAAAATTATCCTTGTACAGGAATCACAGCAGGTTAACATGTAGAAACAGCAACCAGTCATTACTTGGATGACTTTTTCCAAGTGAGTCATCGCTGTGGTCAACACCATTTTATCAAAGTGAAATGGTTTGCCAAATCCTAATTTCCCAATTTCTTTTGAGATGGTATAAGTGGTGACAAATAAAAGTAAACCATTGAACGCAATATATTTAGATCGACATTCAATGAAAGAGGTTGGTACATAAGACGACAATACAGTGTGGAGCCGGAAGAACACAGGTCAGGCAGCAGAGAAGCAGGAAAGTTGATACTCCCTTCCCCCTCCCCATTTCTGAGGAAGGGTCCCAGCCTGAAACATCAACTTTCCTGCTCATCTGATGCTGCCTTACCTGCTGTTTCTCCAGCATCTGCAGTTCTTGTTATCTCTGGTATACAAGAACACAGGTTCGAGAAGTTTGGGTAATGTGTTGACGACTGGTTAATAGACAGAAAACATAGGAAGAATAAACAAGTCATTTTTGGATTGGCAGGTTGTAACTAGTGGGAAGTCACAAAGATTGGTACCTGGCCTCAGCTGTTAACAATCTAGATCACAACTTAAATGAGAAGGCCGAATACAAAAAAGATAGCCAAGGTGGAAAACCATACAGCAATGTCAAAAAAAAGCTGAGGTGGACGCAAAGAGGCTGCAAAGGAAAATGCTCCAGTTAACTGAGCAGGCAATGAAATGGCAACAAGTGAAACTACACTCTGAAAAAGGCTTTACAATGGTGAATGATTACAAAATTGGAAATTTGGGAATTCTTTTACATGAAACAGAAAATTGGCATGCAGCAGCAGTAAATGGTACGTTAGCCTTTATTGCAAGGTGGTTCAAGAGTGATTATGTAGGGCATTGGAGACACCAGACATAACTTGATATCAAGTTACGTCCAAACAATAATGCACAAGAGCAGATGCTGACTGGCTGCTTCCCCTGGCAATACACACAGTCTCAAACTAAAGGTCATTGGCTCAGGGTACCGGTTCATACAGGAAGAAGAGAAATTAGTTCAAAATTAAAAAGGGCTGTGAATCTTTCTAATTCTTTACCTTTGAGAGCACAAATACTCATCTACTGAATATCTTTTAAACCGAAAGCCATAAATTTTTAGATACAAAAGGAATCAGAACATAAAGGGAACACAAGGCAGAATGAAACTTATTTTTTCATGTTCTTAGGCCAGTTTTGTACTTACAGCCCTGAGCTACATTGGAAACAGACCACAAAAGGATATCCGGCACCATTAGATCAATTTTACTTAATTAGCTTCACCCAATTTTAATGTAGGTTATAAAAAATACATTGAAGGTACACGGAGTATGATTTATGTCATAATGGGTTGACCATTAATTTACAAGTTTTGTAATGTGTCACCATTTGTCCATCCAAATCCAATAAAGTGTACAAAATACTTACAAGTTTTGTCTCCTACTTGATCATATCCAACATGCATTACTAGAGTGTTCAAATATATCAAGTAAGGAACAATAGGGACAATAGATGAAACAGCAAATTAATCTGTTATTAAAAATTATGTCAAAAGATAACAGGCTTTTTTTCTACGACTTCTACCTAATAGGGTTCATAGGTTAACCTCAGTTTAGATAAGCTCACTCTTGACATACTATATTGAACAAGCCACTTTTATAAAAACGTTACTATTGCCTGGTTACTCGTAAGAACATTATAGCTAAAGAATTTAAAAAATGGAAGAACTAAACACGATTAAAATTTAAAATAATTCAAGATATTAATTAAAAAGTGAAGTCAACTATCATTGCCATGCACTATTTTCAACTTATCCCACCACATAATACCTGTAAACACACACAAGCTTCTCACCACACTCAGCTGATTAATCAACACACCTCCGCTAGAACGAGTCCCAGAAGACTCCAAGCTGTCTGACGAGTTGTGTCGCCTGCGATTCACATCATAACGATTCTCTGGTCGGACCAAAGTTTCAGGATTCTTTTCAACGTTGAGTGACTGCTATACAGTAAAAACAAATGTAATTGAAAACCAAACAATGAAAAAAAAAATGTAGAAAAGAAAGCAGCAAAGATCCAAAATCCAGAACAACTACAGGGCACCACATCACATCTTTCATTGAGGACTTGTGATGCAATAATTTAAAACTGAGATCACTTGCTTTTTCGACAGATTTGTCATTTTGTGTCCAAACACCAACCAACAGCAATTAAATGTTCAGCCAATAAGTCAGTTTTTAGGAACATGCCATTTTCTGGTTTCAGATGTAACTGAAATAAAACCAATTACATCTTACGGAATGAATAGTGTTTCAGACAATGCAAGATTTAGCTGCATCACAGACAGACAAGTCCTGAAGCTCGACTTCAATCCACAATTTTCTGACTCAGTGTTGCCTACGACATCAAGTTGATTTTGTACATCTACTTTCAGTTGTATAAGACAACACTGGCAGGCACTCCCCACCTAGCCTCACAACAGACTCAATATGGACTTCATCCCTTAGTGAATTACAAAGTGAATTACTGCTTTGCAGTTAGTTTGTTGTCATCTATTATCCTTTTGCTGGACATCAGCCGAGAACAACACACAATGCAGAATTGACTTGAATCAGTCAGAAAAATAATTCAGGAACCCCAAGTATGAAGCTCAAATCTTGATTACAATCACTGAAAACTCTATAAACAAATAAATATACTGTGAATAATCATAATATGAAATAATTTTTTTCAGTTATTGTCTCCAACCACATTATCCTTTAATGAATTAGGCTATGAAAAACTAAAAGCTGAAGGAACTAGATCATATCTTTTAATTTAGTATTTTACTGGTATAGTTCTACTTTGAATCCGCTTTTCGTGTGAATATATGGAAGTGAACACAGCATTTTGGGTCGTAACAAAAACAAAGTTGCTGGAGAAGCTCCGCAGGTCTGGCAGCATCTGTGAAGGAAAAAAAACAGTTAACGTTTCGGGTCCGGTGACCCTTCCTCAGAACTACTGGAAGCTACATCCGCGCTTCTATCTTACCTATTCCTTTCATAAATTTTACATGTTTCTATAAGATGCCTCCTCTTTCTAAATTCCAATGAGTACACTCCTAGCCTACACAATGTCTCTTCATAAGACAACCCTCTTAACTCCACCATCAGCATAGTGAATTTCTTCTACACGCCCTCCAGTGCCAGTCCACCCTCTCTCAATAAAGGAGACCAAAACTGTACACGGTACTCCAGGTGTGGCCTTACTAGTCTCAGAGCTGCAGCATAACCTTCCTGGTTTTAAACTCAATCCCTCCAGCAATTAAAGGACAATATTCCATTTGCCTGAATTACCTGCTGCACCTGCAAACCAACGTTGTGATTCATGCACAAGGATAATGATTAGTAATCCACCATCAGCACATAACCATTTGCTCCCTAGAGCACAAGGATGATGTTTACATGTACACTTCAGTCCTTGTATCATATCACTATCACAATCTCCTTGACTCATTGAAGCTTTTAAAAGCACAGACCAGCTTTAGGTTGATTACTGCAAACTTTGGTGCCACAAGGGAATACATTGTTCTCTCATTAGAGAGACATTACTAGTGGTGGTTTAACTTGAGGGTCACCACACCTCAAAAGGACAGGGCAGGTTGAGAATCACTGACTTTCATGGTACCCTCAGCCACTGTGGGAACTGGACCTGCACCTGCACTGTTGTGAACCAGCCAGCCAAATGAGTTAACTGACCCCCTAGGAATACATAGGCAGGTTTCTAAATTACAGCATAGACAAAGTTTCAAGCCCTTCAGTCAGCTGTTTTGAAAGCTAGCTCACCCCATCCACACAACAACAGTTCAGAATGATTGTGTATCAAAGTATTAGATATTTGAAATAATATCATTTTGTTCAGGAAACTGTCATTGTTCGAGAAGTAGTTTACAGAGACTGAAAAAGTAGAGGAGAATTTACAAGGTTGGATGGATCAGGTTGTTACTGAAAAACGTCATCTACAAACAGCATTCACTAACTGAATGATTGCTTTATGCCTTGGCTCGTAGTATATTTGGCACTTTTTGACCTGTTTAGCAATTCCTCCTGCTCTTTTATAAAGCACTGTGTGGAGGACAGCAAACAAGGTTCCACAAAGGTAGCAGTCTCACATAAAACTTGGATAAACAGGTAATAATTCAGTCTTGAATTCCTAGTAGAGTTAGGAAAGCAATACAGTTCTTTATCTTTGAAGCTGGGAATTAACAAAATTATGTTCTAAACAATGAGTTCTGATTTAATTTCTTGTGATTGTTTAAGATTTACCTTAGATTATAGCCTAAACCACAAGGATGGAAAGGGATGCGCGGGGAGACCTGATGTCATTTCTAAACAGCAAGTCATACTAGCAAAAGGTTAATCTTGGACAATGCCAAATGACCAGTCATTGTTAAAAAAAGAAAAGAAAAGAATCGCACTTCGATGTGAAGGCCTTGCTTATGAAAACAGTCCTTCATGTCAAGTAGGTGGAAAATATCTAACAGCCTGAAAATCATGACAGAAATGTTCAAGCATGATTTGGTAATCAATTCCAAACGTTGAAGTTTTCTTCTGACCTAAAAACTCAGGTACTGAATCCTCCACCATTCCAGTGATTTCCTTGCCATTTCCAACACTAGTTTTTTTTTTTCCAGCTTCTGACAGCAAGCAAATTGGATATAAATCACACTTGCATCTAATTCCCATTTTTACTTATTTAACAGAACCAGTTTAAAACAAATGCCATTACTAAGTTATAAGAAAATGGAGAAACCTGTATACAACACAAACCAATGCACTACAAATAACACTTAGGGAAATTTCAACTGAACATGGCACAGTTTTCAATTATCTTACAGCTATTAGCAATGGAATAGAGACTACATGGATTAATTTTATATAGGATTGTCACAGCCACAAAGATGGGTAGGCTGAATTTAAAGCGAATTCCTATGTCTGTCAAGTTTGAGAGAGAATGTGCAATGGAGTCCATGGTTTCAAAGCTCGTACGTTCTGGCTGAAGAAAGAAAATAATTGAAACCAAGGCAGAAACTTCAGCTCAAAGAGAAACTGGATATTTAGGTTGAAGAAAACTGAAACATAAATGGATATTTCAGGTGCACAGAAAAAAGTGACAATGGTTGGAGATAGTAGGAACTGCAGATGCTGGAGATTCTCAGATAACAAGGTGTAGAGCTGGATGAACACAGCAGGCCAAGCAGCATCAGAGGAGCAGGAAGGCTGCCGTTTCAGGCCTAGACCCTTCTTC